TTCAATTAAAGGGGCCGACCAAAAAGCAAATGCGTCGATACATTGCCTTCCATTGGCAGTTAGATAAACAAAACTTGAACAAATTACATATTGTTATCTGGCACACAGAATTTATGATTGAATTGAACTTTTTCGCTTTTCAATGGCAACGAGGTAAAAGCCACATCAAGTGGCCAAATGAAACTTGGAAGAAAAAAAAAACATTATACCTCGATATGAGTTGCAGTTTTGTAAAAATGCATTTGAAATGAAGCAAATGTGAAAGTGAAATCAAGGAGTTAATGTAACTGAACAAGTAATATGGCATTATCAATCAATATGTTTCATATCCACATGACAATTTTTGGATATATCTGCACATATATATACTATACACAAAGTTCTAATCATTCAAAGAGTGTTTCCCATTTTAAATACTTTTTAGGTCCCGATTTTTTATCGTGTTTCTTTATCAACACAACCCACGATCACGCACGGAATATAAAACAAAAAAAGAAAAGAACGGCACGATCTATGCCCACCTCGTAACACAATACCATACCCCCATCAAAGAAATAATAACAATTTTAAATAATTACAAAATGCGGAACACTACCTTGAGATAAAAGTAAAAAACATGCCCTAGGTTTATTCTTAAAATAGAAGCAACATCATTATAAACATAATTGCACTATGCCTAACAGTTACCTGATAGCTATGTGCCACAAAATATAGGTACCCTCATAAATACATACATACGTATGTGTGTGTATGTGTCATGCTCCCAAAACATCAGCCACACATGAAGTCGACCATAACATTCAATCAAAAGCTCGTTAGACTGCGCACACAGTTGCGTTTGAATTTTTAATGAATTAATCAGTTGGTAGTTTTTTCTTCTTCTTTTTTTTGGGCAACATGAAAATTGCACTGAAGAAGCTTCAAGTCGAGAGTGTTTACAAAAGAAAAATACAAATTGATTGGCCATAAAGTTGGGCTGCTAATTGGTTTTTGAACGGCTGCCAAAGTCATTGCCCAGTTGCGCTTTCAAACAAAGGCTTGTTAATAAATTAATTTGAGAGACTGCACGTCTTTAATGAGAGACTAAAGCAGAAGGCAAAAATTGAGCCTGGAGCACAACGAATCTTATCAACCCCACCCATAAACTAAAAAGAAAATAGGATGATACCCGCTGAAAGATGAAAGATTTGTGAACATTCTGTTCCATACCAATGCCTGATTTGACCTTTTCCTGTCGCATAAAAATAATATTGTAGGCCAATTTCCACCACATACATAGTTAGCCAGTCAAGAACTTACTTGTAAGCCCATATATACACCATTATATCAATATTATCACATTTTATTATTCCCATTATTATTGCTCAGGTCCTTCATCTGGACTCTATATCTGCAGACCATTTCTTATTAGAAACAACTATCTATCCCTAACAATTCGGATGTTAAGTCTATAATTATTATTTTTGCAAGAATGCAAGCCATTCTTTTTGAAGATTTTAGCAATATCTTTCTAAAAAGCATTAAATCATTACGGGCATTTTTAACGACTTGAGCACCTGTAGAAATTCATTTTTTAGGCCAAAGACACGTTTGCATTTCTCAAGCACTTATCACATACGAGAATTGTGGAAACAACCTCAATGAGCCATAAACCAATTTACAAGATATTAAATGGCTCTCAGTAAAGATCTGCTCGATCTGCCTCGAGATGCTCAACAAATTGATAAGAGTTCTGAAAGAAACTTTTCACAACTTTCTCGTTGTGCAAATTGCTAGAAACTCAATTTTCAATGACCATAGGCGAAAATATTTATGAGAACGCTAAGAACCATAAAATCAAAATTGCCAAGATCGAATTGCTGGTTTGGTGGTGAGTATATTGTTGACACGACTGTAAGAGAATGTGTGACTAATCGAAAAACCGGGGAGCGAGGCGCACTTAATAATCATATAGCAATGCAAATACCGGGCAAGTCAAGATACGAGTACTGTCCGGTGATTGGAGACGCTTCGCTGAGCTCCCCATTCCAGTGCCATTTACTTACTTATAATATGTTGTGTGTCAACCAGTCACATATTTATATTGCCAACACTTATGTCTATATAAATGTGTGTGTGTAAATATTTGCATACAAACACATAATATAAAATGTATATTGAAAATTGTAGTCGTCGAGCAAATGCCAAACAATGTGAGTCACAATAATCAGTGTCGAGCGCAAAGCTATATAAACGTGGCTTACTTATTTACACACACACACACAAACCTACTCCACACGTATACAATTCGTATACAAATAAAACGCGCAGTTAAAATAATAATAATAACAACAAATATTTTTAAAAAGTTGCACCAACAACGAAGACGATCGAAACGAGTTTTCTTTTTAAATTTTTTTGTATTTACCAAAAGTTAAAAATATTTACGAAAAATGTATACAGATACATATATGTATGTAGATATAAATAACCATAATAATATGGAGTCAGTTATATTTGAATGTATGTATGTATAGGTGCAAATATTGCAGCACAGTGAAGATGTTGCTGCTACTGTGAAACTGCAGCTAGCAACTGCAATCAAGCGCAAGCTTGCACGAACACATTCACGACTCGCTGCAGTTGGATGTGAGCTGCCACAGCAATAACAACAGCCACAGCAAGTTGTCGAAATGATGTCAGTAATAATTTATTAAACAAAAAAAAAAGAAGCAACCCAAGCCAACCGCAACTGGTGTCTAATTTTTGAAGACTTGGCCCCGCCGCCGGCTGCTTGCCTAAATAAGTTAGTAAGTAAGTTGGCGCATTCAATTTGCATGAGCTTGCCAACAAAACAATGGGCCAACTAACTAAATGTTCATACACTCAGAGAAAAAACAGACGACCTCTTCAACTTGAACATTGTCAAACCTTAATTTTAAAATAGCCAGCAGAACTTTAAAGATACATTCTATCTAACGATCGATCCCATGACAGGTATATAAAATAATGTGTCTATCAAAGATTTGCAATAAACCTGCACAAGGAAAAGACAAAACTACATACCAAGTTTCGTGTTCCTAGCTATTATGGTTTAGAAGTTCTCGATATTCAATCAGACGATCAAACAGCCAGGCAGACAGACATATCTATATCGCCTCGGCTCTTGCTTCTGACTCAACCATTTGGTTAGACTTTCCAATATACCCTTTACCCAAAAGTGGAAAATGTTACGCTACGGAAATAACTAACCACTCCCATATTTATTTACTGGCACAATGCTGGTTTATTATCAAATGAAAATCGAACTCAAGAATTCAAATGCCAGATAACAATTTGAAAATAATAAGAACCTTTCATTTGCGAATCAATTGCAGCAATTCAAGATTTACAAGTCGAGCACTTATTTTTATTAGAAGCTTTTATAGAAAGTGATTTGGAAGACAAATAAAATATACTTTCTGAAAAACTTTGTTCTAAATATCATAAACTATATTCAGAAAGATAAGTAATTTGCTACAAATTTGATCAATTTCACAAGTAATCCATGATATTAATATTACTTGAATGAAGATCATATTTTAATTGTAAAATTAGGCGAATATATTCGAAATCATTTGAGTTAAGTGCTTTCTGCTTTCTTTTGCTTTCTGAGTCAAGTGTTATAGAATTTTCACAGATTAAAAATTGTATGGTAGATGCCTCTACAGATATATGAAAATAAGCTATATAAATCAATACTATATAATTCGGTTTGCGTTTTCAAGTGCAATTTTTGTCTGAGTGTAGTATGTACTCGTATCTATGAGATGCATAACGTGTCCAAATGCAGGCAAAGGCAGGCAAGTAGGCAGGCGGCATGTAAAGCATGTCGACAAAGAAGAAGGTTCAGTGAAATTCACTGAAATAGTTGTAATAAATAAAATTACACATGTTGGGAATTTGCAAGCATTTGCATTTTCATGCGTGACACGCCCAGCAGTTCCAACTACCTGAATGCAAAATGTACCCACATGCATGCATCGTGTGCATATGTATTCGTAAATGCCTGTAACTATGTATGTGTGTACGAGTGCGAATGCAGGTACATGCCTGCTCTTATCGGTATCTTATCTTTATTGCCGTATTGATTTTTTACGCGGCTGCTGTTGATGTTGCTGTTGCTGTTTCCGATAACGCGCCTGCGGTTCAGTTTTGAGAAGAGTACACTTTTATGGCTGGTGGCGAACTGACAATGAGGCTGACCTCGTGCGTAACTAATTAAGGCACAATGGATGGGTGAAAAGGGCGAGTCGATTGACAGACAGGCACACGCCGGCACCCTTGGGAGGGATGCGATGGGTGTGGAAGTGATTTTTCGTGTTCAGCCGTGAACAGTTTTACGGCATTTGACATTAATTTTATGGCTATTTTTACCACAAGGCGCAGAAATACAATTGAGATGCAGTTGATAGAGAAAACAGACAGATGCAGTAAAACGTCTTTAAAACAAAATTCGCGGAAGTGCACATTTTAAAAGTCTGGCAGTTGTATGTAATAATGCATCCGAATTCAAGTATCAGAAGAAACAGCCCTGTTCATTTCTAATTTGTTTTAAAAAATATGTCCGAGTGAGTGTTCCCGCAAATCTTTTTTGCTGTTCCCTTTTCTTAATAAATCAGTCGAAAATCGCAAAGACTATATAAATACATATTTAACACAAAGTGGTAAATTCCAAATGTGAGACAAATTATTATATTTATTTATTTATTTCTCAGCTACGCCAAATAATCTGAGTAACTATTCCTAATATTATTGAAATTATTTAGAAAAAAACAATAATATATCACTGAAGCAGAAAAACCAAAACATAATCCAGCCAACCCCTGCATATTCGTCAGAGAGTAAACTAGACTGTGGTACAGAAAATAAAGGGCCATTACCAACAGCTAAGCAAACTCACCCGTATTTAATTTAACCCCCTGGCAATACCTCTGACTTCTTTCTCCCTTTACTATGGCATACAAGTTAGTCTGACTCACCGTTTTACATTGCGGCAGCGTTTCTCATTCTCCGCCTCCTTGACGCTGTCCCAGCTATCGCCCACACCCGACGATGACATATCATCCAAGCGTTCCTCATCCTCGAGGCCCGAATCTTCGAGGCTTATGTGACAGCTAGTGAGAGTTACTTGTTTGCCATTGTCACCCACCTCAATCCAATCGGAGGTGCGTATGCGCTGCGAACGTTCCGTGCCATAAGGCGATGAGTCCGAGGAGCAGCCGGAGGGGCAACGTTTGCGTGGTGAGCTACTCTCATTGTGGTTGCTCTTTAAGGATTTATTGACCGCATATGTAAGTGTATCCTCTTCATCGCCATCCGCATCTTCGACATTGTCCGCATCCACATCCTCAGTATCTTGGTCCTCATCGTCGTCATCTTCATAGTGATCATCGATGGAGTAATAGCGTTTGCGTGCCTGAGCTTTAGTGGGCGTTGTAGCAGCTGTTGTAGATATTATGGTAGCGGCTCCATTGGCATTGCTAGTGGGTGCCTTTGGCTTGGCCACGCCTGGCGGCTGCTTTGTGGACAAATGCTCCAAGGAGCAGGAACGATTGCGCATCGCTGCCAGTTCAGAAATGAGCAATTCATGGAAGGCGTGCTTCTTCTTCTCGGGCGAGTTATCGGCACTTATGGAAGTCTTCATGGTGCTGCTGTTGTTGTTGGCAACTGGATGAATGCTGCTGTTGTTATGGGTTTGGTTGTCACCTCCATTGATGTTGATGCGCGTGCGGTTTCCGGCCGCATGACTTGTGACGATGGTTACCTGCTGGCTTTGTTGTTGTTGTTGTTGTTGCTTTTGTTGCTGATGCTGCTGCTGTTGTTGCTGTTGCTGTTGCCTCTTGTGTCGCTCCTGCGCCAACTCCTGCTCCAACAACGCCTGATGCTGTATTGCACGCTCATGCTTTGTGATAATGGTCGGATCGAGATTTGTTGAATGCTTTTGGCCCTGACTGATGATGATTTCGGAGAAGAGGCGCTCAGCGGCATTCTTCAGATTATTCTTAATCTCCACCGTTTTACCACTGAGAAAGCTGGAGTTGCCGGAACCATTGCTCAACGATATAGTGGACGTATTGCTGTCGCCTTTGCCAAAGCTATCCAAGGTCGTCTTGGAGCGTCGAAAGATGCTTGTGGCGGGTGTGGCTGGAGGCGCTTGAAAAGCCGGCATATCCATATCCTCCACATCCAGCGTGGCCACTGGCATTTGGACAATCTTGCGTGGCCTGGGCAGCGGTTGTGTGGCGACCTGTAAGCCGGCACGTTCAAAATCCACTTTGCCCAGACTGAGACGTGTGTCCTTGAGGGGCGTGGCATTTGAGCTGCTTGCAGCGCTTAGCGAATTGTGACGATTAACGGTGACAACTAGACCACTGGACGGCTGTTGCTCTTGCTGCACTGCATCCGCTCTGGGCTTGGCCGTGGGCACATCCGGTGCTTTACGCAGCTTCAATGGTGGCTTTGGCGCCGTGCCCAAAGCTGTGGTGGGCGTCTGGGTTTGGGCCTGTTTCTTTTGGAGATTTAGCGAAGGCGATTTATAGACCAGTGTGCGTCCCACTGCGCTCAGTTGGCTCACAAATGTGGGCTTCTTTTGTATGATGGGTGGTGGTGTGCTTGCTGTTGCTGTTGCAGATTTAGGTGTTGCTATAGTTTTATTTGCTTGCATGGAGGATTCTCGCTGGGCACGCAAGAGACCAGCCTGTAGTGGCCGGGGCGGTACAGGCGGCCCGGGACGCTTAACCATAGTCTGGGACTGTGTTGGTGCGGATGCTGTGGCCATTTCGTACGTTCTCACGCGATATTCCAACACACTCGATTTTGGTTCGGTGGTGGCTACGCTTCACTGGCGTTTTAGACTGGCCCAACTCGTTGTTGGCCCCAGACGTTGTTGGAGAGTAAAACCAGTATTTGTAGGTCACTTTTTGTCTTGTTGTTGTTGTTGCTGCTGCTGCTGTTGTTGTTGTTGTTATTATTACTTGGCGTGTCGTTTCTGTTCGCTTATTTATTATTATTTAGCATATGCGCGCAAATGGAAACTTGTTTCGCTTTTGGCCAAGTTCTCATGTGATACATTACATGGCCGATGCTCTCGTTGGTTGGATTCTCTGCATTTTGACAGTTGCCGTTGCAAGTCGCGTCGCCGATCTATTTTGAATATGAATATAGGTTACAACGTCGCACTAACGGCTAGTTGGTTTACTTTTGCCTTCCCAATTGGAAAAATCGTAGGAACTGCTGTTCTCGGGAAACTCGTTTTTCGCTGATTATGCTATTGTTGTTTTTGTTGTTGGTTAGTTTATTTATTTGCTTGTTTGTTTTTGCTCTGTGCACTTTGGATTTGGGCAGTTTTCAAGAGTTTTTTAAGTGAAGGGAATTCGTTTTCTTCTCCTAACATGGGATAACACAAAATGTTTCGATTAGTTAATTTACATTGCATTTAATGTTATTGATTTAAACATTTATCACGCTCATGCATTGCAAGACTTTTATTTTTTCTAACATGCATGTCTGTTTATATTTTCGTAATAAAATGTTAAGTAGTTGTTGCACCCGTTTGGCTGCTACGATTGTTGTTGGTGTTTTTACTGTTGCTGCATTTCGAAAGTGTTATATTACGGGTATATTACCACTTGGCCTTTGCATCAGTTTTTGGCTTTACGTTACTGATTAACTTGGCTTATTGGTAACTGCGGGCGCTCTGGTAATTGGCCAGTGGTGCTGTGCGCTTCACATTATAATTAAGTTTGATGGAAAGACCATTAAATGAGTTCTTGGTTCCAATTAGGCAGTTGAAGCCGCAAAAGACTATAAAAATTTCGGTGTGTCTAGAATTAATTAGGCCCTTTCAAACATTTCTCTGCCAAAAGTACATTCGCCTGTCTATTTACAGACGTTAACAGCTGTGTGCACTCTCTTACAGAACTCTGGGTATTACGACAAAACCCGTTAGCCCAGTGTTAACAATTATATATGGAAATGTGCGCAGTTAAAAACAAGCCATGTAGCTAGCAAAGCAAAACAGATAAAATTCAATAAGAATTTCATTTCCCACAGCCGGTTATTGAAGATCGTTATATCAATAAAGATTAAACTACTGCCGCGACGCAACGGTTTGTTTAAACAAAACAAAATACAGAAATAAATTGTTATTGCATGAAACACGTAGGCTACTGCAATTAGAACGTTGGCCAAAATTGGGTCAGCGGCAGCTTTTTCAACCATAATACGCTGAGTACTGCAATTACGAAACGCCAGGCACACGCGTATGGGAGAAAAAAAACGAACTCGCTGCGCTCAATGAGCGCAAACATAAAGTAATTGATCAAACGAACGGTAAATTGCAGCGCAAGCAGCACAGTCGCCGTCGCCGTCGCGGTCACCTTTGCTGCTGCGCACTAGACAAAGGAGCGCCACAGCACAAAAGTTCAATGAGAAAATAAGAACAGCAACAAAAACAAATTCAGTATATCACCAAAACAAAACAACTTCAGCTTGTGTGCATATTTAATTAACAATTTTGCATGAACAATGTCAGCAATTATCACAATTAAATAAATATTTTCATGCAGTTTAGCTATAACTATTCACATTCACGTTAATTCACAAGCAACCTTTATACTTTTTTATTTGCAGCGTTCGTTTTGCTGTCTACGAAATAAATTCTTATTTATTTAACACTGCACCCACGTCTCAACGCTGCTGCAGCTTTGTTAATAAATAATAATGTGCGCTGCTCACAATCGCCACCGACAGTGGTGCAACTTAATTTTTTTACTGTTAGCTACTTTTTTACAAACGTATACTAAAATTGAAACGCATTTGATACACAGCAATTTTATTTATCAACAATATAGCGTCATAAAACTTGCATTTATAGAATTATTCAGCACGACGACGCGTCCGTTTCAAACGTTGCGACTTGTACGAGAGCCCGAAATAAACTGAATGAGAAAACGAAAACGAATCGCTAAGCGCACCTTGCCGCATCTGCGTGTGTGTGTGTGTCTGGTATTGCGGGTGATGCCAAAGTGAACGCACTCACGACTCTCACGGCAAGCCTAAGCGACTCGCTCACCTCTAGCTTGTAATGTTGGAGTACTGCATTGGGGCTCTCTCATAACAATATTGGCCGCTCTCCATGTTTTGTCTACGAATTGGCATACAATTAACATAAGATATTGTTTTAGGGCTCATTAAATAGGAATTTAATACAATTTAGGTTTATCAAAACCCATTCAGATTCATTATATACCAAAAAAAATGAATACATTTTGGAATAACTACTAAAATTATGTTCTCTTTAGTCACTTTATTTAAAAGAGAGCAAACGAAAGAGCAACGGTTTTGTAAGAGTAACTTGGCACATGGCCAAAAGTGCATTGATTGCGCCCTGATGGAGCCTGCCGGCGTCTGGCTACTGTCGGTGTTGTTGTTTTTCTTTTTGGCGTAACATTGCAACAGCTGTTGTAACACGCCACGCCACGCCCGCTGCATCCTCGTCCTTGCCATCAAACAAATCAATAAAGATTATATGAATGCTTCGCGTATTAAAGGCAGATAATTTACAACTTCAAAAAAATTCAAACACTAATCGTCTTTCGAATGACTTGCTGTCTGCAACATTGTAAGGCAACAACAACTACAAAAATTATCTTTCTGGCGTTCGTTACCGACTGTCTGTCACCGAACGACCCCCTCACACCATAGGCTACAGCTTGGAACTCATCACGCATTTAGAATGACACTGCAGACAAAATTGCAACAGAAAGCAAAGACGCAACGAAAGTCCGTCTATCACATTAATATTTACAAATTATGTTCATTAGAGTGCTTTCTGCTGTCTATGTAAAATGTTAGGAAATTATTTAAAGGGAAATAGGGGAATATTTTTTAGTCACAATAGCCAACTAATACATAATATAAATGATTAAGAAGAGTCAACTTTTTAATTTTTTTTATGGGCTTAGATGCGTATGATTGTGCGTACTCGTAAATACATATAAACTTACATATAAACATACATGCATACATACATATACATATGTACGTATCTGAGAGTCAAGAGGCGTATGAGTAATACTCGTATTTATTTACAGACATACTATATGCAGTAGAAATATGATTACAGGAACAACGAAGGTTCACATTTCAATTTCACAAATAATGAGCTTAGGGAAAAATAATTTGTCAAAATTGATACGGGAAAGTCTTAAAAATAATAAAATACCATTTTTTAATTTAATTAAAAATAAAAAAATTAAAAAATACCCTCATACAGCGTCCCTAATCGTAATCAATCTATTACCCGGTGGGGGGGAAAGTGGGCAGTACCACCCCTTCCCCTTTTTATGATATTGGTTTCTATTAATAGCTTCAACGAGCGCATCAATAGGAACATCTTTTATGTCGTAAAATCAAGCATGTACACAAAAACAACAATTATACATACAAGACTCTTAACCCCAAGATGATGTTCATGAAGTTATTAGGTTATTAGGGAGAAGTTTGAATAACGACAAACATTTCAAAAGAAATACATTTTCCATGGTTTTCGAAGTAAAATTATACATGCAACCCAAGATGATGTACATGAAAATATTAGGTTTTATAATGTTTGTGTATGGAGAAGTTTAAATAACGACAAACATTTTAAAAGCAACACGAATTTCCATGATTTTCCAAGTTAAGATGGCGATATTTAGCTTAATCCCGATTTCGTATCAAAAGTAACGCGAATTACACTATTATTGGAGCTAAGGCGATTAATGCAGGAGCTTATGATGTCTATAGATTCATAAAGGAATTATTCCAAGGTTGAAGTTAATCGAATAAAAAACGCAGATACAAACGTTAGATCCAGTTTTCCCCCATTTGGAGTTTGTATTTTCAAAAACTTAATGCTCACCTACACTGTGAGCCTATTAAACCAAATCTTTATAAGTAGAAAAAATACGACCAGTCGAATGTACAAATTGCACACTTTATAATGCGCTGTCCTGTGTGGCATAATACATCTACATATACCCGTACTTATACAAACCAAAGTACATACATAGCTACAAACATAGATATGTATAGAATACAGGCATACTCGTACATACAAATAAATCTTCCCCTTTTGGAGTTGGCCGGGGTCGGTCGTTGTCGCTGTTGTCGTGGCCATTTCGTATTTGCTTTATTACAGACATTCTGTCCGCAGCGCAGACACCCTCTCACCCCGCCCCACCACAACACAATGAGGAGCCCTGGATTGTGTATCGGGAGGAGCACGCTTTGTCTGGCAGCTTGCCGGCAATAGGGCGCACTTTATTCGAGAGGAATTTTATGCCACTCAGGAAGTTGGTTTTTCCGGTGCACCAAAAAAATTGGTGTCGCTATTGCTGTCGTTTCTATGCTATTTTTGGCGCAGCGGATATGTTTTTGGCCTAAAATTGACTCCGATTTTTAAGCGGCAACTTCTTTTTAGCGAAGTCCAACAATTTACAATTGCTCCCAACGGCAGACCACTTAGGGGTGAAAAAAAGAGGAAAAACAGAAGCATTTTTAAATCACACGTCGGCGGACTTAAAACCCATCCCAACAGCACATTCACGATTGAAGCACGCCACCCACAACCACTTTATTCCACTTGAATGCTCTTCAACTCTTCTCCAAAGCACATTCTTCAACTCTCTCCGCCCTCCAGCCCATTATGGAACACCGAAGCCCCAACAATGAAGGTTAAACTTACGCTAAATATCTGTCGCCCTCGTCGCCGCAGTGGTGCCTGGGCTAGGCGAGCCGTGTCCTTTACAGCCGTTTCTAATACCGAAGCACTTCAAACGCTTTTCGAAACTGATTAGTTTTTAGCCCATCAGTCAAAACAAAATCAATAACACAACAACCAATAAAGCAGGGACTCCGATTCTAAGCCAAAAACTAAAACAAATGACATGTTATCCTTTTTGAAAGTGCACGTAACCACGATCTGTGAGTGTGTGTTACACACACATTTTAATTTACACAAAATATTATATCTACTATATAAATACCATTATGCTTAGTTAGGTGTGTGGTGTCTGCGTGTATAGGTGTGTGTGTGTGTATGTTTTGTGTTCAAATAAGGTATGCTCTCATAATTGCTTTGCATCTCGGATTTTGCATAATTAAATGTACAATAAGCTTTAAAAAACTGTTCGGCATAAACAACTGTACAATTTAGGGGAGGCAGGCGATAACTACACGCAGCTTTACAAAAAAATTAATGTAAGTATGAATGTAAGTAATAATTAACATTAAAAACATTATCGCATTGTTAACAACTTTTTGTCATACATGTTATACACACGAATCTCTATATAGAATAAATACATAAAGTATATATATAGCAGCAAGTGGCAATTTGAAATATATAATGAAGCGGTGGCGCCATGGCTTTATGCTAAATTTAAATACTCGTATAAGGTAGTGGTATAAAATACACAATGTCATAAATACAACGAAGAAATAAAATACAATTGTTTAGTTTGTTTTCACGCTTTAGCTTTCGCTGACGCCTGCAGACCTTTAAACATTCAAACGTTCCAACCTTCTCGCATTAACGACTAATCGGCAATGGCCGTGTAGGGCAGACTGCTGTGCTTCGGCTTCGTTTTATTGATGAACACCTTGATGGCGCCATTGAAATCGGCGCTCACCAGAACGTAGCCGCAACCTTTCTTGTGCTGTTCGACGAGCGGATCGGGTTGATTATTGGGTAGCTGTGGACGACACAAGTAATTGTTAGTCGAAAGGTTTTTCTCTGCATTGCGTTCGGCATACTTTACCTTCTCATGCGAAATTTCATCCGGTCCCGGTTTTATAATTGCCTCCGGATGTGGCGCAAATATGGCACAAGTTACAGTGGCATTGTGTGCTTTGATGCCTTCCCAGAAATCGCTGCGATCGCGACGCACCTGCAAAATAAGAATCAAGGAAGCAAGCAAATAGAAAATAAATATTGCTGAAAGAGTTTCTTAACAACTTAAAATGTGATAATAGTTTCGTAGTTTCGAAGCGCTCATGTTTGGTTCCATCACCAATAATTATATAATAGAATGATACTGAAGTTTTGTGATAATCGAAAAAATGTAAAATTTCCATTTTGTTAAATTTGTTCGAATGCGAAAAAGGAAACAGGCCTTTTTTATCTATTCTTGAGAAACTTATATCGGTTTCTGCTAAGATCTATTACGTTTTTCTTATAATAGTCTATAGCACACAACTATATCGTTTATATGTATTTTAAAATATTTTGGAGCATTTCTACTAGTATTTCCTAATTACCTAGTTTTGTTAGATATTCCAGCTTGGAAAACCTCTTATAAAAACGCCATTTAAAATAAACCTGATTTGCGTTTGGATACAAGAAAACGATTTGCTAAATCTCATATTTCAAGCCCTAGTGGTTTTATCAAAAATTACGGACATACTGACAGCCATCAGTTCATCTTGTAGATAATTTTATGGATGCCTATTTTCTTAATGATTTGCTGGTTAGAGTACTTACCGAGCTTAGCTTGGAGTAGTCGTGATTCGTCTTCCATATATATATGCATTGATTTTCGGAGCCGGCAATGATATATTTGCCATCGTGTGAGAACGATCCTTTGATCTGGGAGGACACGTTCAGATAGCCCTTGTATTTGCACGATAGGTTAAGATCGCGTAGATCGTAGAGTCGCACGCGACTATCGTTTGACGTCACGAGTATCTTATCCTCACCAGGCATGGGTTCAATACCACTAATCTTGCGACCGATGCGATTCTTGCCCCGCGTCGAACGCACGTGTATTTGTGTATGATACTTCAGCTGATCGGTATTGTAGAATATGCAGCGTCCATCGTAGGAGCCGACAACCGCAAACTGTCCATTCTGACAAAAATTGGCCGCCGTTATCAGTTTGGTTTGGCCATCAACCTCATTCCAAAGCGCCACCTTCTTGTCTGGTATGTTCCAGAGTCGCAGTTTGCCATCCAGACTGCCACTTAGGAAGTAACGATCATCACGCGGATGAAAGGCGATCGCAGTCACAAAATCAATGTGCTGAAAACAGCAGAGACACTCTTTCCTCGAGATGTGCCACAGTCGTACCGTCTTGTCCATGGAACTTGAGAGGATGAAATAATTTTTGGACCAGGAAACATCGAGCAAGTCCGAAGTGTGGCCAACATAGGTGCAGAAAGGCTTCGGCATGAAAGGACCCGTGCATTTCTCAGCAGCAGTCGCCATCGCAATCGCCTCTTCGGCCGAGTGTTGGGAGACCAAAGATTCTTGAGACGGTGTGGGTGAAGATTTTTGATCGGCATTGTATTTGTTACGCATATCCTGTATGAATATTGAATACTAACCTGAGCAATAATCATCAAAAAGCAAATTAAATAAGGCACAAACCTGGAAGAAAGGATACTCATCCTTAAGAACCCAAATACGCAAAACCTTGTCCTGACCAGCAGTGGCCAGCAGGCGACCGCATGAGCTGAACTTCATGCACCAAACCGCACTTGTATCCTCACCGGACAAATCCTGAACGTGTTGCAGTTTAGTAAACTCATATGGGCCCTTATTTGAAGACGAAGCCTTGATTTTGATGTTCTGCTCGGGGTTCATGGCATCCACAATGTCTGCCACATCCTCTTTATGGCGCGCATGTGACACCTCTGACGCAATTGACTTTGCCTTATCCACAGTCTTGCGCATGGTCGTGCCGAAGAAGCGTTTTATTTTGGCCGTCTTCCGCTTCAGACGACTGCCGTCTTCTGTCTCGAGTTCTTCCTCATCAGGCTGCTGACCTTCGTTACTGGGTGGTATGCCTATAACGCTTTCCTCGTCGGACTCCTTCTGTATCACCTCCAGATGGGAAGTCAACTTCAGGATATGTAACGAGAGCGGATTCCAGCCCTCAGGCACTGGCGGTGAACGCATTTCAGAGAGCGGCAAATTCTCGCCGGTATCTAAATTCTTCACAGGAACTTGTTTGAGTATCTCAAAATCGGTCAACTGTTTGCCGGAGCTAGTTCGCGTACGTACATAAATGTTCATCTGCTTGAGGACATCCTCGTCGCCTGCCGATTTGCGTCGCTCTTTATCAGTGGTGCCTCGATATAAGGAAGGATATCTGTGTGGTAAGCATTCGTAGCGTTATTAAAATGTGTCTTTTTTCTATAGATACATATATTACTGCGATTTACAAATAAATGAACTTTAGCGATAAGACAAGCTCTCTAGTTACATATTTAGTCTCAACTAACTTGATTCGCAGATGCCAAGGACCCTTAAGTGAGGTCAATTTGTAAACAATAAATACATCAAACGGACTTCTGTGAAGAAACCGTAATATGTACACACAGATATATGTATAAAATCGATTACACTAAAGCTCATTTCGGTATCGCTTGGCTAGGAATGTTGCAACATACCTCGTGGCGCTGCCCAAGCTGTTCGAACCGGTTCCGGCTAATTTGGGTCTACTAGCATTCTCCATTAGCATTTTCTCAATGCGCTCAATCTCATCTTGGGAGGGTCCTTGGGCCTTGTTGCTGGCCTCATCGCGTGGCTTTACAACATAGCCACCCTGTATGGCCTTAAAAAGATTCAGACCCTGGTTGGGATCGATGGAACTGTAACAATTAAGTAGAACAATTAGAAAAAATAAAATTGAATTCGTGGACACAATAATCCTCGCTAAAACATGTTTCTTAATTATGCAACATCTTTTTGCTTTTAAAATATTAATTATTGCTTTGGCGTAATTGTAAATCTAAGGGCATGAAGGAATGACGTCTCTAAGATCGTTCTTACATTAGAAACAGTATTTCAAAATCTTAGTTCATCTCCTTTTTCCGCTGTTACTAATAAAATGAAAACTAAAACCGAGCTACTATCAACTTGTTCCAATATTTAAATTATAACTAAGAAGTGTTATCAAATATGTTAAACTTAATTTTGAAAATGTCTCACAAAAAGTAGACAAGTTGATAAAAGCTTTGTCGGTAAGTTTTTAATATTTTGATGCACCATTCAGTGACCAAGTTCAGGGAAATCCTTTGCAATCTATAATATTATATATTAGGTTCTATATGCCATTTGAGACTTCTAGTATCGACAATCTTTTATCAACAAAAAAGTGTCGCTTCGAAAGTAAAAAAATCGTATTTCGAGTCGTCTTTTCAGAATAGTTGTGGTCAGCCAGACTATTCACGATCTTTTTTTAATAACTCTGAACTATTCGTTGCCAAATATAGCGAAAAACTCGAATCTGTAGGGGGTCTTGCCCCACCAGTCTTTTATTAAAAGTACTTGAATGTTCAACTCCAGCTTTATCAGATCGCTTCTCTAGCAGTTGCAGATGTTTGCTGCATTTCATACAATTCGTAAACGATATGCAACTTACCTGACGCGTCCCGGCGCCGAGTTGCTTTTGGCCGAATTCGAAGGACTTGGCTTCGAGTAAACCGACGTGGAACTATTACCCAGTGAGTGTGATGCCTTGTTTATGGAGCCGCTTGGCCCACTCGTTACCACCGGCCGCACAAGGCTGCTGGTGACTGCAATTTGCGCCGGAGGTGGTGGTGTGGTTGTTGCCGCCGATGCCGACACAATCGTGCTCGTCGACGAACAGGTGAGGGTGTTGGTCGACGCCGTTGCATCATTTAACGTGCTCTCAAACTCCTTGACAATTAAATCGCGCAGATTTTGCTGCACATCTCGCACACTCTTCACTGAGCGTGTATCACTGTCTGTATCCTCTGTATCCCCAGGAGGCAGACGCATGCCCTCGTTCATGTTGAACTGTTCGGAGGAGCTGCTCGAGAATTTGCGTGATTTTTTCTTGCGTCGCGGTGGGGCCACAGGACCACTCGATGTTATCGAATCTGTGGTCTTCGAGTGCGCCAGCTTTGTGCTTGCTATGACATCCGGCTCCTGTAGTATAATGGCACCCGATAAATTCGCCAAAGGTTGCGATGAAGCGGAAGATGTTGCCACAGCTCCGCTGGCCGCACCAGCAGATATTGCCTGAGCGTGTTTCGGTGAGACGCGCGGTGTGCCCGCGGAACTGGAACTGGACGTTGCGGTTGTGGTCATGGCGGTAGGGGTGGGGGCGACGGTTGATGCGTTGCTTGTGGTTGCTGCTTGCTGCTGGTGTTGCTTTAGTTGCATTTGTAGTGAGTTGCTCGAGGCAAGGGACTCCCGATCAATGCTAATTGCTATATTTAGAATGTGAGTGTCAGCTACTGATTGACTTTGGAAACTGAATCCACAATAGCCGCTCACTCACCTGATGGATCAATGCTGCCGGCTAAGATCCGTCCCACTCGACCCAATGATGTCATACTCTGTATGCTCATCGTATCGGTTTCGATAACCTTAAATGGATGTGTCGGACGATTCGTGAAAACGCCATCCGTGGAGCTATTCTGCAGTTTCAAAAACAACAACAACAAAGCAACAAAATATCATTAGCATTCGAGTGCAAATTTTAGCCAAAATATTATATAGATATTAGCACATACTCTACATAGCAGTTTGTACAACTTTTAAGCTCGTTTTGCTTTTCTTTTTTCTCTCTCTTTTTGCCACAAAATAGTACAAAATGTTTTTGTTTTACAGATTTAGGAAAAACTTTTTAAAGGTATTATATATTTATATCTAGTAGTAGGTACCTGAGAATCAGGTGTGAGTGTATTTCCTGGATTATCATCTTCATCATTTTGCATGCATTGACGTAGTTCGTGAAAGCGTTGTCTACCATACTATATACGATATTTTTGCATTGGCACATACATATATTTATATAAACATTGAAATTGAAGTTTAGACCATATTCCATTTAAGTTGTTTGGTTTTATTGTTGTTTTTTTTTTTTTGTTTTTGTTTTTTTTTTTTTTTTACGATACGATATGACATTGACGTCGAAATGAGGCACAAATATGAAAATAAATATAAACAAAATAAATACAAATTTCGAGATTAACAAATCAAATATATGTAGCTAACAAATCAATCAACACAACGTAACAAAGCAACGAAACACTAATTGAAATATTTGAAAAGCTCAAATTGAAAGTTACAAAATTCTTATGTTACAGATAAGCTAAGAATAATTGAAATACCAAACATTTTTGCCGTATCGATCAATTAGGCCATAATATCTAAAACAGGTTTTCACAGCTAACAACAACAATCCCAACTGAGCACCAACTACTGAACAGCAAAGCTGCTTCTGAAAGTGAAAATCGAGGCACTCGGAAGCGGCAAAGTTACGTGAACTTTTTGTCAACAAAAACACACACATCTATATCTAAATGATCATTCCGGAACATGGATAGCACTTTTTCCCCATGCACTAAACAAGTTCACATTTCAGTGCTCACTTAAAACGTGGCCCACTGCGGGGCCAAGCACGAGTGAGTTGCACCCTTGACCCACCGTTTTAAGCACTACAATTACCCTATAGATAACTAGAACCACTGAAAACAACTAAAAGGTAACACATTTGACAACAATTTATAACAAAAAATGCGATAAGACGGCCAATTGTTTCAATTACGTTGGGTAATAGTTAATTAAAAAGGCGAAAAATGTAGAACAATTGGCGATAACGTGAAATGAGGCTAAATTTAAATGTTCAAAGGTATTGTTGAAAGCGACAAGCGATTTAAGCAGAAGCAAGTATACATACTATATACATATACATATGAACGTAACGAGTCCCGCTCTGGAACACCCCTATAATCCAAATATTTTTTAATAAGAAGCAATCGATTGTGAGGCATCAATCCAAGACACCTATTAAAGCTTATTTCAAAATATGAAATATTCTTTTTGTTGAGCTTAACGTACGTACGTAGCTGCTGTACGTTTTGAACAACTCATTTAGTCCTACTCTTATGTTACCAGGAACAATCAAATCAGCAGCCATATTTAATTAACTATGTATATAGACACATAGATATGTACATATGTATGTACCTATGTTTGCACATTTTATACATAAGGTAGACATTCACAATAATGATGGAGGGTCAGTCGAATACCCTCCGATGGGGCGGCAAGTGGCAAACAAGCACAAAATTATAAAAACAAATAAACCATGTGTGTTGTATAATAGAGAAAACAATTCAAACTGTTTGTGGGGGGAAATTCATATGTATGTACGTCGCTTTTGTTTTGTCTGGGGCGGGGGGTAAGGCGCCAAGCAGTGAAATCGGTATGAAAAAATTTGCATTGATTTTTTTGTATTTTGCACAACGCATATGAATGAATAACACGCTAGAAAGGGAAACCGCAAACGTGCCAAGACTTTAAATACAGAGCAAATGAGCTGGGAACAAAATTAGTCACACTGTTTTGCATATTAAAGGGCCAACTTCGGAGCAGACACTCTAGATCGGAGAGGAAAATATTCGAAACGGAACTAAAAAACAAAGCATAAAACGCATTTGAACTGCATGCAAACAAAATCTAAGCGAACGTACCCCCCCCCCCCCACACACACACACCAACTCCAAAAAAACACTTCAAGGCCAAAGGCCTACCGCCTACTCACCGCGCCTTGTACTGGCTTGGGCTCCACAAATACGACAGCTGCTGCTGCCGCCGCCGCCGCTGCTGCCGCATCCTGTTGCTTCAGTCGCTGGCCCAGGCTGTTTGTGGGACTACGGGTCGCAGGCGTGCCAGCGCCAATGGGAGTTGCATCACTGTCTGATGAGGCGGCGGCATTTACGCGTACAGCTGGCTCGGGGAAGATGAAGTCTCTGGCGGATTCCGGTGGTGACTTGCGACTGCAGTTTATATATACAAATATTGTATATTATATTCATATAGCGCTCGACAAAATGCGTCAGCATCTAACTGTAAAGGCGGGGTCCATGTACAACACTGTGTGTATGTAACATACCTTAATGTTGAATGTCGATGATTGGGCGTTGTTGTATCTTCGGCGTCGAAAAACTCCTCTGAACTGTCCGAGTCTGTCTCCAGTTTACTCATTTTTCTTTGTGCGTGGAGCTTCGTTACCTAAACACCTCCGTGTGTTGTTGTTGTATGCAAATTGTTGAAATGTTGTCTTTTGCCACTTTGTTTGCTCTTTTGTTGTTGTTATTGCTGTTTGCTGCGGCTACAAAACTGAACGACTCATACAATCACAATTTTTACGTCATACTCTGCCACCGCGCGTCCGTCGCAGACGTTGCTTCGAACATGTTGCACTCCCCCAGGGGCCAAAAAATATATTTACACTTAAAATTTAACAGTAATCAATTATTAGTTCGAATTACACACGAATTCTATATTAATAAAAATTAAAACGCCAGCAGAGCTCTAGGTGGTGAACGGGGAGACGATGGCGCGGAACTGCCAACCCAACCGAATTAATTATGAGAGTGGAAATCCCTGGCAAAAGAGTTGCCATATCAAATCGTAGAAAATGAGCAATTCTGTTTTTACAACAACACCTTTTCAACACTGGTCCTGCAATCTTTCGCAATTTGCCGCCAAAAAATTGTAGGTAATTTTCAACAATAAACAAAGCGTGGAATGAAAATGCACGCCGAAATTAAACAGCAATTTGACGAAATAGGCGTTGATCCCAATACGGAGGTGCTGGACAAATGTGTCGAGTTGGCCTTGTCCTACAACATTGACGACGCCACCGAGTTTGTGGAGCAATGGATGGCATTTAGTTTGTCACATCTGCATGGTGATGATCCCACCATCGACAATTTGGGCGAGTTTGAGCGCAAAGTGCTGCAGCTGAAGCGGGATAAGGGAGGCAGCAAGAAGCAGGCATCGCACAAAAACATCCACACACCTGTGGCATCCAGCAGAGCCTTGGAAACAAGTGCCTTAGCCACATACGGTTTAGGTGCGGATGACGGTGACGATACAACCATGATGGAAGAGTACGCGAGCGAAGACCCTACAGAGCCGCATACACCGAAAGCGAGGAACAAGGTCAGGCCGCATACTTCAGCCCTCAAAGGAGACGTTATCTTCAGCCCTGCCAGCTACACGCCAAAATCTCAAGCAGCTCCCCGGACTCCCATCGTGCCAACAGCTGGTCGTCCTGGCGACATTGTTGAGACATTTGGCAATCGCAATTTGGTAACTAATGCGACATGGCAGACGCAGCTAGAGCAGACTCTGCCCATCGCTCAGAAACTACTACACAACAATAGTCCCCTGACCGCCTCGAACTTCGGGTATATGAACGACTTGTTGGCTGAGAAGTGTGAATCTTTATATGATCGTATCGTAGATATTGGGCAAGCGCTGGCGCTGAAGAAGCTCGGCCCTAAAGGATCTGCCGATTGCAGTTGGTATCCACGGGACAAGTATACGCTGCAGGCGCTGCATTTGCTCCATACCGTGGGCATGATTCACTCAGACTACGATGGGCCCTTGGATGCCCATTCCACACTACTTGCTGTGCCAGATGCAGAAGATCCCAACTATTTGTCTCTTAATTTAAGCCGCATGAAGTCTGTTAGCTTCTTTCCTGGCCAAGTGGTGTTAGCTACTGGGTTTATTCCCAAGGGCAAGGTGTTCGTAGTGGAAGAGATTCATACGGAACGCAAACTCGTGCCGCCGCCGCCACTAAAATTGGATCGTGAACTGCTGTTTGTTGCTGCCGCCGGACCATTTACCCATGGTGATGATCTCTTTTACGAACCCTTGCACGATCTGCTAAAGTACCTAAAAGAGAACCGTCCAGATGTGCTCGTTCTAACTGGCCCTTTCCTCGATGCAGAGCACAAAGCCGTCAACGAGCTGGCCGAAACCTTCGAGTCCTTCTTCGATAAAATGATTGCGGGCATTATGGATGTCGTCGGTAGCCACACAACGGTGCTGCTGGTCAGCTCACAAAAAGATGTCATGGCACATGCTGTCTACCCCACACCACCGCTTCCTTTGCGCAAATTGTATCCAAATCTTCACCTACTTCCAGATCCCACAGTCGTCGACTTGGACGGCATAATGGTGGGCGTCACTTCGACGGATGTGGTAGACGATTTGCTCAGTTACGAATTTGCTGCCAATGCTGGCGAAAAAATGCATCGTGTCATTAATCATTTGTTCAATCAAGGTTCATTTTATCCCATATGCCCGCCGCCGGACGAGAGCATGGCCTATGACTCGGAATTGGCACAGAAATATGCACAGCTTAAACAAATGCCAAATGTCCTGATCCTTCCTAGCGTCCAAAGGCATTTTGTGCGTCTCGTCAACGACTGTTTGGTCATCAATCCCGGGAGATTATCACAGAATGATGCCGGGGGCACATATGCACGCTTCCTGATCACACCGACACCACCAAATTCCGTGGCCAACATGTTCAATAGCACAGCTTGTCAGATCAGGCGAATTTGAGCGATATATTGGTGAAGGATTTTGTAAAGTTTATTACTAAGTTTTTATAAGGAATTTACCGTAAAAGCATCTGCATTTAAATTATTATCGAATGCATACACAGTACATCTGTCTTGAGTTTGTTATTTAAAAGCAAAGCGTTCTATTGACTCGAAAGTAATTCACTGCGAAGCCATAATATTGATATGCATTTGTTCAAATTGTTTGCCAGTCTGACCAAACATGTACACATATGTAATTGTTAAAGCGTTTATTATTTTAATATATATGTATAATAATAGTTTACAGCTAACAATAGGAAATAAAGTCTAAACGTATCTGCTATGTATATGTTATTTACGCATAATAATTCCACTAATCGAACTCAATTCAGAATTAAGTGAAATAAAAGCATAAATCAATCAAATAAAATTCCACTGTATAATTTACCTATACAAAAATACTGCACGATACGATACGTTTCTAAATAAACATAATATGGATTTATATCTAAATCAATCAAACCAAGTGTTTGTTGTATTTTTAAGTAACTGCTCGCAACTTTTAAGTAAATCGATCCTGAGGCAGCCCGTCTGTGTTATTAATTTAGAGTGGAGCTGCTAATTACGGCAACTGCTGCCCACAGCTGCCGTCCAACAACTCTACGCCTTTTTCTGCCCCTCCATTCTTTGCGTCTAGTTGTTGGGCTCCTGCTTGTATTGTTATTGTCGATTATTAACACCCTCTGGATTATGCACGCCTCCCATGCTATGTTCCATATTCTTGACAATCACATAGTTTGTAATGTGATTGATGGCCTCGTCCTGCAGTCGTTCGGGCCAGCGTCTCATGTACGATTTAATAAAATCACTGAATGTATCCACCTTGTCTGGCGTGCTCTTGTGTGTGTCGACAATATTTTTGACAATATCGACAAATTTGTCATAGTCCTCGTGTGATTTCTTGATTTTATTGTAGTTGGGCACACCTCCGTTTGTGTTACCTCCAGGTCCGGGGTTACCCCCACTGGCGCCTGCTGTACTCATTTGCTGATCCATATTGTTGTCGGCTAGGCGCGCTGAGGCGGCAGCGGCTACCGCTGCTACAGCTGCCGATGAGGCCATAAAATTGTCAACAGATCCCGCATTCGGCGGTGGTTGGGAGTGGTCCATAAAGTGGCGATGCATGCCATACTCTGTCCTGTGAAATAATCAAAGAATGGAAGTATCATTAATAAACAATCCTCTCGTAGTTGCCTTTATAAATTTTACTTACTTGTAGAACCCCTCCGTGTTGTTACTGTTAAACTCTTGTTGAGACATTGGATTTTTCCAAACTGGTGATTCAGATGTAGATGGCAAGCTGCTGGCATTCGAGGTACTGTTCATGCGCTTGTCTCTGTGAGAAGATTTGATTAAAGACATTAAGATAATCCGTTCTTACAGTGTCGAACTAAAAACCTTCTCACTCTATATCTAAATCCCGCAACCACCTGAGAAGCTACGTAAAATAGCTATAATTGCGTACATTTAGCGAGACAGTTACAGATATAGAGTAATCGCCAACCTGGTTCATCCAGTTTAATGGATATCACAAAGTCGGACCAAGCAGCCAAAAAGGCTTCCGGAAATGCTTCACACTACCGGAATTTTATTTTTGCATCATTCCAATAAAAAAGCAAAACTTACAAGTTAGTATATTAAAAACTGTTTCATAACTTCTCGATATTTAAGATTTAAGTTGATTAGTTAATTTCAGATTCCAAATTGATTCTTCTTTTTTATTTTGTTTTTTTTTTTTTTAATTAAATCTTTCGTACGTCAAGTGGTGATATTTTAATGAGAAAACAATTTTTACAAAACATCTTCAGTTAACTTCAATATTTAGTTTAAGGTTTTATTTGTTAATCCTTTCTTTCACGCTAATTCGGAAGTCCAAAGAAAATCTATCTATTATACCATACTTTTTCTATACCTATCTCAGTATATCAAATCACATTAAGAGTTAGATGGATGTTTACTCACTTGTAGCCTGTGTGCGCGGCCAGACTCTTAAAAACATCATCTACTTGACTGTAGAATTTCCAAGTACTTATTATGCCTGTAGTGTCGAATGTTTTTTGCTCCTGTCTGTAAAGGTTATATATAGAAAAGTTTTGATCATTTGGTCTACATATCTGGTAGGTATGGAGTACGTACCTATAACGCTGTGTTAAATTATTAACTTTAAAGTGCACTTCCAATGCGGTTACGGGTACGCCAAGGGCCGTTAACTGCTTTGCCATAGCCACATAGAGATGGCCATTGCGTTTGATGGTGCGCAATTCATAGGCGCAAACTTTCCATAGTTTGATGAGTTCTAATACACCGCTATCCTCCCATTGTCGACGCTTTTTATTGAATTTTTCATACTATTTGGGTGGTGAATTTTTTATAGAATTCCGGGATGTCGATTGGATACGCATTTTATTACTTACAGGCATTTCACATGGGTCTCACTGGCGTCAAATGTTTGCCCAACAAACTTCGTGCTCCAACCGCATAAGAAGCATTTATTTAGTATCCCAGCATGTTGAACTGCATCTGCAATTAAATTCGTATCCAGTTGTTTATAATCGTTTATAATCACTAATTACAAGTAGTAGGTGTTTAAATGAGCGCGTGTTTTGGTTCTGCTCTCTTTCTCTCGCAATTTCACAAAATCATCATCAACATAATCAGCAATGCTGATTAATTTATAATTATAGATTGGCAATGATCATTAGGCACAAAAACCCGCCGGCTTACACAGTGGACACGTACACGCACACAAACAAACCTTAGCATAATAATACATGTGTACACACTATAGAGCGGCTTGTAAACAAATGTTAATGCAATAACAAGGTGTAAATTGCATACGCAAGAGAGAGCAAAGAAACTATTGCAGGTACAGGTACATACAATCGCGACGGCAGCTAAAAATGTACTAAGCGGTATTTCAAGTATACAAAAGCTATGCCAGTGCCATTGCCAGAGAAGATGCTACCGACGACGTCGACGCCACTGTTGCTATTGCTGACGTTCCGGAATGAATGTTGGGGGGCGGGTAGGGGGCGCAACAGCATATTGTAGTTGGTACTGGGGGAGATAGTAACTTTTTCCTGAATACACACACGCACGCACAACTTTTCCCTTTAACATTTCACAAACGCACACACTATTGTACATACACTCTCATATACACAAATGACGGCACACACATTCATACATATTTTTTGTCGCTCTACAATATTACTGCACTGCAATTTGAGTTTAATACATGTACGGCTAGACACGCGCAACAGCCCCGCGCAAAACACATAACACAAGGCAAACAAAAACACTAAACTTAATAATTATTAATATAATTTAATTTTAATTATCTGAAGAAACACTCAAAATGCTACACTGCGCATCTCGCGTACAACTGATGAGGGCGATAATGAAGTTGCGAGTAAGAGCGCAATAGATGTGAGCAGTGCAACTAGTGAACGAACGCAGCGTTGCCAGACTACAAGTAACGAGCTCCATAAGATTGAAACGCTTACAAGAAAATGCAATGTACGATAAACAATGCTGTAGGATGTTGTTCCCATACTTCCGTATTTGTAGTGGATCAAATCCGTTTGAAATCGAGAATTTAAATTTATCTTAATAATCCTATCTTATCTTATTAAAGTATTATATTGCAAAACCAGGCGTAGGCACTCCAAATCTACATTGTATGTTGATGAGTAATGATTTTTACGACCTTTGTACATATATGTACGTAAATACATACGTATATACATATGTACATACATATGTATATACTGACTATCTGCGTCTTGACTATGTTTCGATTTCAGGCTTGTAATTTATCTTATGTGCGCACGGCACAAGGCGACAGAAGCAAAAGCAACAGAGTAGCTCGTTAGGGCCGTCACAATGCAAACGCATTATCATCATCATCAGAGTTGCCTCTGCCTTACATAAGCGTCGACAATGCCAGACTAAAAAGGTTTTAGAGCGCTGCTTCATTTATCCCCCCAAAATGACGCGCAACTGCTTTTTTGTTGGCGCGCACACGCACACACACATACAGACGCATATTTGCCGGTCATCATCATTAGGTTGGGACCCCCCTTCTAACTCCTCACATAAATGTGAACGTCATTAGCCGCGGCTAAATAACAAAAAATGATAATGTTGCTGCTGCCAGAGCGAACGTCGGCAGCGGCTGTCGTTGGTAATCATCATTAAATGGCACATCGAAGCTGCTTGTGTTGGCCGAGAAGCTTTCGAACTGGAATCCAACCACCCACACCTGACGCATGAACAAGGCCGTACAAGCACCTGCTGATGAGCACATACAAATAAATGTACGCACAGGTGTACATACCATGGGGAAACTATGGCTCAAATTGTTAATCGAAGTCCACATTTGCTGAAAACAAAGATTAACTTTTGCAAAATGATGAAAAAATTTAAACAGTCGTAAAACAATAACTGGTCAATCAATGGGCTCTTAATAGCAGTTATCAGTATCTATGTACATATGTACACATGTACTTATATACATACATATGTACATACATATGTGTGTATGTAAATCGTAGTGTTTAGTAATACATTCACATCGGTCTACATTTATGTAGACAGTTCAACAATTTCAATATAATAAATGTAAAAGCCTATATTTTTATATTAAGTATATATACAGATGTACGTACATAGGAATGTAGTTAAAATAATAAATTGTAAAACAGCCGTTGTTTATTTGGCTCTTCATTGTTTATTATTATTAGTACTTACATACATACATATGTATATACATTCATTTCCTATTTCAATCATATAAACAATAAATAAGGCTGATAGTTGTTTATTTAAGCTAGACAATAAAGTTAATATAAAACAGAGTATAATTACACAGACAATTTTATCATATATTTTTGTGGGAATTGTTTTTACATCCTCCTTGTTAATTATTCTGCGCTGAGGCAGAAAGGTGAGCCTGGTATGTGATCATCTCCCCATTTAGCAGCCAAAACATAGTCTCCCGGATCGTGCACATTATACACCACTCGGTAAATGTTTCGACCCATATGCTTGACCAATACTTCATCACAGGGACCCTGTGGTCCCAAAATGCCCACAAAGAGCATATTATTACCAGCGGTACTACCATCCACAGTAAACTCGTTGCGTTCTGATAAACTTATATGGGTCAGACCCAGGCCCCGGCTTTGAACCTTTGTGGCGTCCGATTTGAAAGAAAGCACTGCAAATTCGGTAAGGATAAGGATAATTTTAAAAGCGAAAACACCTAATGAAGTACAAGTATATAACTTCGATCCATTTTGCAATGATCGAATTTCTCAGTCATTACTAATAGTATAGAACAATAGGACTTTCAAAAACATATCACAGCCTGGAAAAGTTAATTCTATAGTAGATATACTCTGTTTCAGTATCCAACAGCAGACTCTTTATTGTAGTTAATACTCACTGTTTGCGACAGATGTGGCAGTCTCTGTTGGAGAATCGGGTCCACCCATTGACACTATGATGAATGGAGATTTTGGCAGAGGTACGGAATTGCATTTAATGTGCACCTTATACAAGCCCGCCTGTGGTAGTTGGCATTCGACTTCAAAGCGTTCTGGATCCAAATGAGATAACGGCAACGGCAAACTGTGCGTCCCACCAGGACTCTCCAATCGGACATCAAAATTACCCTTCACTCCATTGCGTTTGACTATAAAGCTAATGGTGGAATTTTTACGGACGGCGCCACTGGGAAAGCGAAGCAACTGCACCTTACTCGGATCGGTCAATTCGGGTGCTATGTAAACTCTTGGCGGTTCTGTGGGATAAGCATCTGCCAGCGGGCCCAAGCATTCATATATAAATAGCTATTTTTTTCTACTTCCTGATAAACAATAACAACACAAACACTCACCCGCTTCGGGCATGCGCTGATATTTTCCAAAAATACAAGCGCTCTCTGCAGCGCCGGCCAAGACGTCGCCACTGCCGCCTGTGCCACTGGGAGCACCACCAACAACTGCACCATGACCTGCGGCTGCACCACTCGCATTTGTATTCAGATGTATCTCCTGCGACACCCTAAACATGCTGCCAATCGCCCGTTAATCTCAATCGACACTCGCTGATCCGTTAGATGACTCTTTCAATATTTTTAAACATACAAGTATAAATATTTCGAGTAAACTATTTTTTCGTGTGAAGAACAGCGCTAGTGCTGTCTTTGCCCGCTCTGTTCCTTTTTGAGACTGAGAACTGTGCTACGCGCTCTTTTTCAATAGACCCCAACCCCAATGGAAAAACACATTTCATAAGTTCTACTGCTCTTAAGACTTTCTATATTCTCCAATTGCTATTGGTGAGGAAGCAGTGCCAACATCAGAGGCAAACTTATGAATTGGCTGCCAAATGCTAAATTGTTTCTTTTTCAAGATGTTTGATGTGATTTGTGGGCACGCTGCCAACCAAGTACGAAACTTGTTTGATCCCATCGAGTTAAATGCATATCATGATATTAAAAATCTTTTCTGAAACCATAAAAGTAAAACAGCTTCCGAACGACTAAGACGTTTTCAAAACATTATTATTGCTGGCTAAGGTTTATTTTACGTTTAAAATATAATTTAAGAAACTGGCGGACTTTCAAAGCTTCAAGCTTTCCTGGAAAAGAAATCCTTTTTAAATGTAGAACCATTTGAATTTACTTTTGCTGTCGTTATCAGCCATTTGCCAAACTACCTAAAAATTCATCGTATAATTTCAACGCTGTAGAACCGAAATAATTTGGAAGCTATTGCTCCGGAACTTCTTTGGTGTTTTCCATATTTTTTATTGCTAGGCAAAGACTTTGTGACAGAATTTTTAAAACAACTCTTACCGTATATGGCATCAATTATTTTTAGAAATTTAAAATTTAAAATTTTTTGTTGTGCGAAAATTAGTTTTGCACGCTGTACGTACGTCTAAGCTTCAATTCTTATATCAAAGCCATTTTCCAAATTCTGATATAGATGCGGATATATGACAATATCAGTGTTGGTGAGATGGCCGGAGGAATGCAGACCCGAATACACCTATAAAAACAAGGTTATCGAAAGAAAGGAAAGGCGGCTTCGCAAAGCCCCTTTTTTACGTACGTGCTCTGTAATCCTTAGACTCTTGATAGCCTCGGTGCGCATTTGCATCCAGGTGTTACGCAAACGTTCCTCTGCCTCCGATATGAAACCTGGTGTCCAGTTCTCCTGAAGCCTATAGAGACGAATACGATTCTTTTCGCGTTCCGATCGTGGCGGTAACGAGTGTCGCTTCCGAATTCGTTCCTCGCGCCTGGCACGCCCGTTCAACATTTCCTGCTGCTTTGCCTTCTTCTCCTCAATCTGTAGACGCATTTTTCTAGCCAAGTCCTCGCGCTTCTTACTGGCCGCTGTTTCAGCAAAAATGGATACCTGATTGGTCTGCCCATAGAACTTACAGTAGTAGTTGACTTTTTGTGAATCATGCGGCGGCATAATGCGCCTAAAGTTTCCCAAATGACCTTCCTCCCAGGCAATTTGCTGTGCCAATGGATCACCATCGGCGCCTCGATTATCTGCACCGGTGGCGCCTCCCTCCGCCCTGGGAGCTGAAGGGGTGGCTTTTGGGCGTTGAACAGGAATTCTGAAAAGATACTGATCGGCTAGTCCGAAATCGTGAATATTTAATGATCTGTGCCCACTTACGACTCGCCTTTGGTCTTAAGTAGGCGCTGCTTAACCCGTTTGCGGTCCTCGCGCATTATTTGCTTCTTGTCCGCCAGCACCGTGCTTACCAGAGTTAGTGTGTCACGTATGAGGGGTCGCTTCACTTCTCGATCTACCTGTTCATTGGTGTGAAAGCTGGGCGAATGATTCACCTCCAGAATGTAGGGTTTTAGCTTCCAATCGACGAGCACATCAAATCCAAGTATCTCGAAGCAGGCCTGTATCTTGTCGTGACTTGGAAAACAGGCATGATAGTTGTGTTTCAGTACCGGCCAAGCACTGAGAACAGTTTTGATAATGACATCATCCACATTTGCCCAGAACTCATCCACGTCATAATTATGCCGACGCATCCAATTATTAATGGCGCTTAATTTTCGCTTACTGCCGCAATCATCATTATCGCATAGCTCATAGTGGGAGTTGCGTTTATTTACCGAATAGTTGGTTAGGTGCATATATAGATCGTTCGCATTGCCCGGTGTGGGCTCCACGTACTTGTTAGTGGCGAATCGAGCCAATCCCTCGTTATACACAAAGATCCGAAGCGGATCCACGGAGGTAATGAGTGTATAGACCCGCAAATCGAATTTATAGCCATCGATCAATAGAGGCTGTAAGAGAGCGGGGAAATTAGAGCAAAACAACTCCAAACGCGGATGAATAAAGAGAAGTTTAAATACGATAGTGTACTTCACCTACACGATGTACATAGGTCTGACATATAAGTCGTTCATTGGCTCCGATGGTTTTCAAATCATTTGTAAGCCAAATTCCTCGTCCTTGTGCACCCGAGTCCGGCTTGAGAATAAAGGTGCGTTTGTGGTTCAGCGCATAGTTCACGGCATCACCATAGCTGAGACAAAAGCATCCAGATCAAAGATAAGTGACGTCACCATGACCCCTTAACTTACTCTGCCGGTAACATCCAGGTTTTGGGAAAAATTTTATAATCATGTGGATATAGTTTGAGCATACGATTTAGGTTTCGCGACAATAAATCCTTCCGACAAATTTCGATCATCCCGGGAAAGTGATTGATTTGCTGAAAACGCTTCATATTCTTGAACAGCTCGACGCCAGGAAAGGAGTCGGACCAGAGTATGTTCCACAGCTTGGACTCTTTGACCAGCTTGAAGCCGAGCGACTTCGATATTCGACCAATCATTGCATAGCGCGAATTTGATACGCATATCATGCTCTTGCAATCGCTAGAAAGCCAAGACATTACTTGGCTGCTCCATGCCTATCAAATTATATTGCGGAGCTAGCTCACCTGATGGAAGGTCCTTCATCGTGCGGGGGCACTGGGTCGGTCAGGCCAGTGCAAGCGACACGATAGCACATGTTGTTCAGCTGTATAATGCCATTGATTTTATGATCATCATCAGTTCGAGCAGCATCGCAATCGTAATCCCCAAAGTCGTATACCATGCTATTATTTCCCGCCTTTATCAGCGCAGGCTCGGGCGATTTGTTCTTAGCTCGCTTTGGGTATTTCGATTTTTTGGTGTTCCCTCGACGTCGTGTCGTCAGTGCATAGTTGGAAGTCTTGCCCAAGGGTGATGTTGTGGACCATTCTGTTTCCGATCCCGCATTACAACGGCGCTCACTTAACGCCATATCGATCTCACGTTTCACACGCGCCCGCTGTTCACGATCTTTTCGTAGTTTCTCTTTTGAGAAATGACGCAGCTCTTGGATTCTTTTGTAAAACTTGGAATTTTTCAAATTCATTATTGAGTCGCAGTCTCTCAGTCAAAATTAAAGTCCAGCCTATATACTTCAAATGTAAATGGGTGTGTGATATGTGTAAAATCTTGAAGTTGAAGGATTTGTTGGAAACATTCACAAATTAAAACTAATTTTTAATACATTGTATGTGGCAATATCAAAAGAAAAGGTAAAAGCGAAATGACACTAGAATCAAATCGAATTAAAATCAGAACAACCATTTCTAATGTTTTTTGAGTAAAAAAATCGATCTATTTGGTCTTAACAAATCAATAACAATAAAAAATATATTTTATAAAAAACCTGTTTTGGAGTGCTTTGCAATACAGCACATTTATTCTGGTATATGTCTGCTTAAAAATCATCGCAGTACACTTTAAGCCGTTTAACAACTTCGTCCATGGAAGGTCGCTCCTGCGGGTTTGTGGCCGTACATTGCAGGCCCACATTTATGGCACATGTTGCCCTCTCGAGATCATCGCCTACGGGTGCCGTAATACGATTGTCAAACAGATGTAATCGGTTTCCTTGGAATTGCGATCTGATTTCATTGACATACATCAGTGAATTCTTTTGAGAGTTTTCTATACCATGTTCCATGACAAAACGGCCCGTGAAAACCTCCATCAGCACTATCCCAAAACTATAAATATCTACGCCAGTACTGAGTTTATTCGACTCCAGAAACTCTGGTGGCAAATAGAAACGCGTTCCAAATACATGCTTCACCTTCATGGTTGCGTTTAAAGACTTTGGCCCCTCACGTGCCAATCCAAAATCTCCGATTTTCGGTAGTCCGCATTTGTCTAATAAAATATTTGCCGGTTTAATATCACCGTGTATGAGCGGCGTAGTTCGTGCAGTGTGTAGAAAATAAATTCCCCTTTAAACAAACAAAAGAAATACAGTTTACATTTTGAAATTAATATACATACAAATAATTTTCACGTACTTCGCTGTGCCCAAACTAATTCTGAAACGTTCTGCCCAGGTCAACGGTATTAATGGTTGCGGTTTCGCTCTATACCATTTCAAGCGGCTCTCCAGGGAACCACCAATCATAAGCTCATAAACCAAACATGGCTTGTCGCCATTAATGCTGAAACCATAAAGTGCTAGAATGTTATCGTATCTAATGGTGCTCAAGTATTTCAGTTCGGTATAACTTTGGCGCAGTTCGATTTGCCCATTGACTTGATTATTTTTTTGCCGATAATTCATTACTTTTATGGCTACATTGATCTGTTTCCAGTAGCCCTTGTAAACGTCGCCAAAGCCCCCGTGCCCTAATTTATTGCTGGGACTAAAATTGTTTGTAGCGCACACGAGCTCTTGGTAGTCGATTTCGAGCGATGATTTGGCAACATGTTGCACAGCACTTGCTCCAATATCGGCCATCGAATCTAAGATCTCACTCTGTTTAGATTCCAGGCCTTGCTGAGTGCTAGAGTTGCTAACTGAGGTCATGCTATTGTTGTTGGAATTACTGACGCCGGATGAGGAGGCAAAGGGCGGTCCGTTATTAATTTTCGAGTTGGTCGCAGGTCTCCGAAGCTCACTTATTGTAGGCATACTTTTTGGAATGTATTTGTGATATTTTTCATCGACGTGATCCATGATCAGCCGCATGGCATGGTGAAGTGACATTCTGTTATTATGCGGAAATTGTTTTAATGCATTTTTATTGTGATTTGTAGAGAACACACTTACTTTTGGAAAAGGGCAAACAGATTATAGGCACTATGATCGTATTGCCCGCCCCATACAGTTAAAAACTCGTCAGATGGAGAGAAACCAAGTCGCATTTTATGCCGTATCTTTTCCACATCTTCCGGATGAAGTTTTACGAACTGTGCCAATTGCAGCCAAACGTCCAATGAATCCAAATGTTGGCATAATCGCTGTCGATCGGGCACAGGCAAATTTCGAATTAGAATTGAGGTATCCCTTTCGCGACCCGATCTGCTCCTTGTGCCGCTTGCACCATTGCTATTCTCAATCGGTCCAGTGCTCATCATACAAGTTTTCATTGCTGATTCATCCAAATATTACTTGCAGCACATTAAATAGAGCAATGAGTACAAAAACCTGTTGCACTATAGGAAAAATCCCAACCAGAGCCAGATATGAACACAAATGGCAATTCGGGGCTGCCAGTCTTTTTTTCTTGGATCGGCGCTCCACATGAACTGGCAGCACTCTAGTGCTGGAAACTATATTAAAGCAAACAGCCGCGACAGTGTTGGGCATCAATTCAGTCTTGTTTGTGCTTCGTGTGAATTGTTCGTGTTCCCGACGCATGGGAAAAAATTGTAAAATAATTGAATTTTAATTCGTTAATAATTTATTTATTAAACCTTTCGCAGCCCTCTTGATTTACAAATTATAAACAAAAGAAAGGCCTCAAGCTGGCGGAGAAAAAAGTTCAAATGGCATTATGCCAAACATCGGTGGTAAGACAAAAATTATACAAAAAAATAAACGTCAATGTCCGACCCAAAAAGTATTAAAAAAAAACAACAAAGTGCGTACTTACATTTGATGCAAAGTAAGAATGTGCGGCAAAATGGGAGGTGACTAAATATGTGTGCCATATGGAAGGCTAAGCTGTTGCAAGGAAATTGTCGCCCCAAAAGTGAAAGTTCTCCGTGAAACGCCTGTGTCGGCGCGCCGTATATATTTATGTATGTACATATGTATTTACGTATGTATGTGCATACATTTATTCAAGTCCATGCATGAGTTGCGCGTGTCGGTGCACTCTATTTGTCACCATACCACAATGTTCAACGCATTGCTGCACTTTTACAGTCCAGTAATTGTAAAGTCAAAGGAACACTTGTTTAAATATTTATCTTTCCCTTATCGCTGTTATGACCTTACCTTTTAAAGTTATTAAGGGCAATGGAATTGTTGGTAACATCGATTTCATTTAATTTCCTTCCAGTTGAAAGTCTACCACGCCGTCATTGAGGATGTGATTTCAAATGTCCGTGACGCTTTCCTTGACGAGGGCGTCGATGAGCAAGTGCTGCAGGAGATGAAACAGATATGGCGGAACAAGCTAATGGCAAGTAAAGCCGTCGAATTGAATCCAGAGCAAGGCGATAATCAACCACCTCCCATAGTGGCCAACAATCCAAAGGTAAGCAAGGTATGTTATCGGCTCCAGATGCGTCCTACAACTTACACTTCTTCTGTATGTATGTATGTGTGTGCCTGTGTGTGAACGTCCTTTTGCTACATTCCTATGCTTGTTTTGTTCCTCTTTTTCCAATGCGCGTATTATGCCTTACCACTTCATCTACAATGACTGCAATGATCGCGCATCGGAACATTGATAAATGCCGCTCATTATACGCACACACATACACACAATATCCGTTCATCAAATGTAGCCTTCAAAGGTAATGCTTACACAATATTGATTAACAGCCATACTAATCACTTCCTTACTTTCTTTATAGGCTGCTAATGCAAAAGCCAAAAAGGCAGCTGCTGCTGCAGCCTCACAGAGCTCACCAGGATCAGCTGCCAACGGCAACAATAACAACAATGGGAACACAGCGGATGGAAAAACTGCGACTGCATCGCCCGTCGTTAAGTCACCGCCTACTGGAGCTGTTGGTGGTGGCGGGGGTGGCATTAAGAATGGCGTAGTTGCTATTAAACAGGAAGTCACTTCACAAAATCCACCGCCATTGCAGCCCACATCGGGAGCCACAATGCTGCAGAAGCAACAGCCGGTCGGTGCCGCCCCTGGCGGTCAAACGCCCATTCCAATTGTTGCAGCTCTCGATCCCAATCGCATCATGCCTGTAAATGTACTTAAACTACCTGACTTCGGCAAATGCCGCATACATGGCCAATCTAATAATCAACATTTCAGATTACACTACCATCGCCACCTGGCTCGGCGAGCGCAGAATCTCGCGTGCTAACCATACAAGTGCCAGCGTCCGCTTTACAGGAGAATCAGCTCACCCAAATACTGACGGCTCATTTGATATCGTCGATCATGACATTGCCCACCACACTGGCCTCATCCGTATTGCAACAGCATGTGAATGCAGCCCTTAGCAATGCCAATCATCAGAGTACGTATAGAACATTAGGTTTTAGATTCACACATTTGGGAGCTAAAGTTGTATTATGTCAACTAAAATTAGTGGAAAATTATTCAGCCCTAATTTAGTCTTAATATTCCATATTTAAGAATCTTTAAAATTCACGACGCCAGTTTGGAAAATTATTTCCAGTATAGGACTTGATTTTTCAAAAATTTAGGTTGCAACTGCGCAAATAAGATTTGCCCATTTAATTATATATGTGATAGTTTAAAACAAATCTATTTACATGTATATACAAGTTTTTATTTAAAGAGATAGGGAGAGTGATGCGGCGAAAGGCTGTATTTTTGAAACAGGTATGCTCCTGAAAGCTTAGGTTTTTATACAACACATGCTAATTGTTCTGCACGAACTCTTTATATGTCACTTAAATATTAACAAACTACCCTAACACCGGAATTATAAAAAAAATTAACAAGCTCACAATATGTGAATAGAATCAAAGCTAAATGCATGAATTGATGAATCTTTAATTAGGAAACCTGACTATTGCTAAACAATTGGATGGCGCTCTTGACTCATCCGATGAGGACGAGAGCGAGGAGAGTAATGACGACATGGATAACGATGATGATGAGGATTTAGATAAAGATGATGATGAGGATGCCGAGCATGAAGATGCCGCCGAAGAGGAACCTCTAAACAGCGAAGACGATGTTACCGATGAAGAGGCAGGCGAAATGTTTGAAACAGATAATGTCATCGTTTGTCAATATGATAAGGTAAGCCATAATATGGTTAACCATTGTACAAGGGGGAAATGATAATGTACGAATATAATTTACAGATTACCCGCTCACGAAACAAATGGAAATTCTACTTAAAGGATGGCATTATGAATATGCGTGGCAAGGATTATGTATTTCAGAAATCGAATGGCGATGCCGAATGGTGATAGCTTCAGCGACTGCAGCAAGCCACATAAAAGACAAAAAGAAGCAACCTCAGTTTAATGTTGGTTAGTCTACAACACACAAAAACAAACACTCACACACACACGCACACCTACACGATGTCCTCAATAGAATGGCCATTTGGCTGCAGCCCCAACAACAAACACAAAATCAACCACAATTACACATGCGACAAATCGCTGAATATACATACATATATATATTTACATTTTAAGTTTTGTTTATACTTTCTAATTGACCATTGTTTATGTATGTCTAACAATGCAGTTGCATATTTTTGCCAATAAATAAATATTTGTGCATACATACAATTTTAATAAGTCGCTATCGATTTTGTACAGAAAAAATGCCCCCATGTATTATATTTATTATATATCAAGCTGAGACGTCAATTCAAATTTGTTTTTATATTATTTATTTATATTGTGTGTCCGATTACTTGATTTTTTGCTTCATTGTTTTTTTGTTTTTGTTCTCAATTGTACATTTGTTTGTTAAAAAATGTAATGAATGTGCAAGTTGCTTATGTGTGTGTGTGTGTGTATAAAGTAATATACATTGCTAGTTCACTTAAATAAAATATTAAACAACACATTTTTGCAATTTGTTAATTGAAATAATTGTATTCATTTTGACGTTGGAGAAGTTGCTATAAAGTAAATTTATTTTGTAATTTTAAGGATTACAACATTTTACAATTAATACAACAGCGTAGCCAATTGCATGCTTCTATGTACATCGGTAGTATAGTAGTATATAATGGTATGTACACATACGCATATATGCAATTGAAAGGGACTGAATACGCCGCCACGAACGTTGTTAAATGTTTGTTTTCATTCTCTCTTAACATCCTAAGTGTGTTAATGACTAAAATGTATGTATATGCTGATCGATGTGTGTGTGTCGCCGCCAGTAGGCTGTTCAGCTTATGATCCTTAAGAAACTAGATGATGTGTGGCATAGTATGAACAGGTCTAAAATGTGCCGACTATTTTTAAAAATGATTTAATTGCTGGTGGAAAAAGAACGGCTTTCATATACCCTGCACCCCAAATATTAAAAACGAAAACGTTTCAAATAAATTGGCATAGATTTGCTATTTTAGAAATCGGTTTTTGTCTTCCAATCCCTCCAATGCAAAAGTTTACAAAAAATTCTATCAAAGATGGATACGATACAGAAAAACAATGTGTATGTATAATTTTACAATTGTCTGTGCGCAAAAGGGTACAGGGTCTTGATTGGGTGATCGATCGATCGATCAGAGGATGATTTGCGCGAAAGCCATTTGTGCTAAGCACCGAATTCCAGATTAGTGTGTACACGATGAATGTTAAAAATTAGAGTGTTGCACATACATATATAATATATCTTGCGAACATAAAACATTAAGTCGTTAATAGCGCTATGTTGATTTCCTTAACCATCTTAACTCGATGCAACATTCGTTGCAGAGCATCTTGACTGAGCGCTTGCGTTGAGTACCAAACGGGTGAATCGGGCACACAGGAGCGCTCCGGTTGAAGGTAGAAGACATCATTGCGGGTCTTTACGCTCTCCGGACTGAACAACAAATACATCGCATTGCATTAGTATTATTTCATTTTCATAACACATTATACTGACCATTTTGAGAGATAAAATTCATATAGACGCACAGGACAGCGCAACGGATTCTCCTCATTCTCTTGCTGCTCATAGACCTTCTTCTTGCGTGGATTCGCATCTGTCAATAATAATTCACAAATTAACAATATAAACTATCAACTTATCTATTCATATGCACTTACCAAGGCCCGCTTGAGGTGGATAGAAACGTAAGAGCACATTTCGTGTGCCTGGAACCTTCGAGTTTTGTGATGAACGCTTCCAATGCTTCATAATGTGCGAAAAGGATAATTGCATGTGCTCTTCCACAGTCTATAGCCAACGAAATAATTACAAACTAATAATGACTGATTATCACAGCAAAATACTCACAGTCAAATTGAAATGCTTTGTGTTGAAGAACATCAGCGTACTGAGCAAAACATGCGGCGAATGGGCGCCCAGTTGCTTGCATTCCCACAGATGCTCCTCCTCGACACGTGTGACTATGTACTCTGCAAAAGGAGATCAAAGTTTGAGCGATTAAATTAAATATACTGCCCTTCTCCACGCGTCTTATACGAAGAAACCTACTGCAGCCACTTTTAGCACAAATATACAATGTAGACACTTTAACTATCTAAATTATCGAGAGCATTTTTTTTAAATTTTAAAACAGCCCTTTTTACACTAAGTAGTAAACTGAAGGAGCCACTTTGATTACTAATTGCAGATTTTAATCATATTGCTAATTTACCAAAAAATTTTGTACTATTACAAGGTGTGTTCCAAAGTAAACAGGACTTTAAAAAAAAACACAACAAATGGTTTTTTCGGCAAAATCAATTTATTTTATTCAAAATAGTCTCCCTCTGCTTTAATACAGCTTTTTGAACGATCCAAAAGCATGTCGAACGAGTGTTTTAACTCGTTGGCCGGTATGGCCGCCAGTATGCCGGTGCCAGCCTTTTGAATGGCCTCTACGTCTGCATAACGCTTTCCTTTCATGGGCAAATGCATTTTTCCGAAAAGGTAGAAGTCGCGGTGCCATATCAGGTGAATACGGTGAGTGGTTAATGGTTAAAATGTGATTTTTGGTCAAATAATCGGTCACAAGCGATCGATTCTGAGCAATTTTTGGTCGTCAGTCAATTTGTGCGGAACAAACCGTGCACACACCTTTCGTAAGCCCAAATGTTCAGTCAAAATGCGATAAATCCATGTTTTGGAGATGTTCAATTCCATTTCCATCAATTTCAATGATGATTTCGGCTGATTATTGATGAATTCACGCACAGTTTCGATGAAATTTTCGGTAATCACGAACTTTGATTGGACCACATGTTGATCAACATTTATGTCCCCACGACCACTTTGAAAACATTGAAACCACTCGTGCACTCTGCTACGGATAGGCAATCATCGCCATAAACTTGTTCCATCAATTGAAACGTTTAGGTAAAAGTTCTACCAATTTTAAAACAAAATTTAATGTTGGCTCTTTGTTCGAAGCTCATTTTCGCACCGATAACACAAACGTACTGACACTTAAAACGCAATAACGTCACTTCCAATCAATGAAATGTCATGAAATTCTCCCTGGACAATTGATAAAGATAGCAGATTCTAACGCACCAGTCGACATATAGATAGCGCCACCAGGGGGCGCTAGATTTAAAAAGTCCTGTTTACTTTGGAACGCACCTTGTATACTTTAAAATATAGACCTCTTCTCTTCTCCAGACAAAGACAAATCTTTTATAGATGCCAAAACTATAGATCATTAAATGATCAATCAATTGGGATAAAAACATGCTTATTCGTTCAAAATTATGGTAATTGAAGTCCACTTGTAAGATATACGTAGTTGTCAAAGCCATATAAAAACAAGAGAGAACGCTACAGTCGAGCAAGCCCGACAGTGTAATACCCTGTACCCAGGTAAACTTCCGTCACTGAGTTATATGCGCCCAAAGCAGCAGCAAAAAGAGGAAGAAGAAGAGCGAACTTGTTGCTGCAGTTTGTGGGGGTTGTACTGGCGAGAATTTGTTTTGCTAATAACTTTTCTTAGAATCGACCGAATTAAATAAAATTTTAAACAACAGTAGATAATTATATATAAATTTTGTGTGCAATTATGTGTAGCATTGGAAATGTGGACGCTATTGACGAAATTCTGTAGCGGGGGAAGGGAAGGAAAATTTAAAAAAAAATAAACTCGTCCTTTATCGGACCTAGGAGAATCCTTGGTTATTCTAGCTTTTATAGTTTCTGAGATCCTTGCGTTCATCCAGACGGGTGGACATGTCTAGATCGATTTCTCTCGTCATGCTGATTCAGAATATACATACATATGTATATACTTTATGGGGTCGGACATGCTTTCTTCTGCATGTTACATACTTTGCACAAGCCTAATATACCCTTTTACCCTACGGGTACAGGGGGTACAGGGTATAAAAAAACATAGTCCATAGCATTTAGAAATATAGTATGATGCTATGGACGGACAGACTGACGAACCTAGTTATATCTGAACTTTGCAAGCGTTGATCTTAACAATAAATTTGAAAATAAACATTGCTGTGTATTTTATGTGAAACTTACGTGAATCGTTGTAGAGCACTGAGAATTTACGTGCCACTTCATCGAGGCACTCCGTGAAGCGTTCATAGTAGGGATCGTAGAATATGTTGTCGATCCTTCCGTTCACATAGAGATATTGCTGTATGCCTGCAAGCAGATGAGATAAGACACACGTTTACAACTAGCCGACTAAAGCAATTTCTTGATGTTTTGTGATGCACGCACCCAACACCAAATAGTATATAGTATCTGGTGCATATTCCGTGCCATTCGGTTTCCGCACTTCCTTCACGAATAGGCAGAGCGAATAGTTCAACTCGTCGGCGGTCATTTGTAACAGCTCCGTTTTGAATGGACGCCGGCGTACAGAACTCTTCTCGATGTCCGCATTCTTGGTCATTACCCATTGCTTCCAGGCATTCACACCGAACGTGTATTTGAGGAACATCTGCGCATCTGGCTTCTCCTGTTGCTGTTGTTGCACTGACTGTTGCTGCAGGGCTGAGTGGTCCAGCTCGTTGCCCCGTTGCCGTTTCACAGGCGATCGATTGTTACGGGCCGTGGTGTCAATGAGGGCAGCATTACCTCGTTTGCGACCTCGCGGTGATCTTAATTATTAAATTTAAAAACAAATGTAAAGGTACATTTTTGCATTTCCTAACATTTTTAACTCACCTCTGTGAAGCATCTAGCATGTGATGCTGTTGATCTAGATGATGTACACCCATTTGGCCCATAGAGTCATGCCCCACCATGCCGGGTGACTGATTGGAAATCGTATTAGCCGTCATTGTTGTCTCCAGGTCGACAGTTGTTGTCTGATGATGCTGCTCATAGTCGCCGGTAGCCATTTTCAAAGCGATTTGCAGCATATCGTCGCCATAGGGATTGTGGCTAGCACCACTGACATCCACCACTTGCTGCTGCTGTTGGTGTTGTGGTTGCAAATTGTTTTGATACTGCAGGTTGACCAGGCTTGGATCCGGCTTTATTTCATTATCCGAATCAGAGTCGGATTCGTGTTTCTCCTCGGCAACCATTTCGGCCATCATGAGCAGCTCCGCCTCAAGCGGATCCTCGGGCATTTTGTCCTGTATCTTCTTGATTTCTTTCAGAATACCTGCTGCAGTATTGCGTGTTGTTGGTATGAAAATTGGGACAGGAATGGGCAACGGAATTGGCACTGGCACAGGAAATGGTGCCGAGTACATATACATAGGTTGCGGTAGATATATTGGAACGGGCACAGGTATCAACACCTTGTTCGAATAATCCTTCTCGGTCTGAGTGGCACAGTCCCGTACCGAAGGCGTGATTTGCTCTCCAGTCGACACCATCATGGGCTTACAGCTGACAACTACGTTGCGTACAGCTTTTGGATAAGGTGGCACGGTTATGATCTTTGTTTCCGACATAGTTGACTGATGAAAGTCATTGCCGGTTGTTGTGTTGCGACGCGAGGGCATCGTCGGTGCAACGGAAGGTGGTGAGGGTGAACGTCCCATGCTGTAATCTACATGCTTGCGGGGACGCCCGCGTCCCACCGGCGCTGTACTTGGTGGCGGGGGCACGCTACGTGGCACCAACAACGACGGAGGCGATGTTAACCTTGGTCGACCACGACCTCGACCTCGACGTGATACGGTAACATTGCCAATACGAGCCTGAGTCTCGCCGCTGGCCAGCGATGTTACAGTCGAAATAACGGGTACCACTGTGCCACTACTTGACTTATTCTTATTCATGACGTTGTTTTTCGCGACACTCTATTAAAGAAATGAAAATCCAAGTGATATGCATACATAAATAAGTGATTGAAGACAGTCTGGGAATTATATACGTTCTATTAAGTTTCGTATTTAATCTCCAAAGCCTAACGTCGAAGAAATAGTTCCCCTTCTTTTTAACAGTACAGAGCACTGGTTTTGTAGACACATAGTGTTGTTACACGGAATATGTGATCGCCGTGAATGGCAATGCTTTGAAGCTGAAAAGGAATGCGCGATTGCGCATTTTGGTATCCTGCATTGCAATTGATGTGAAATTGCAATGCGCAATCAGTTTTCAAGACGTTGGGACCGCTTTTCTACCAGAACAAGTGCATTGAGCCATAGAGTTTGTATTTGGTTTGTATTTGCGACAAAAATGGCAATGCCATTTTAGTTATAAAATTAATTAGAATGTGCTGTGCAAACATATGTACATACATATGTATGTATGCATACATAAGTGCTCTCAGAATACTTTGCGCGTGCTGTTTTTGCTTCCGTTATCTACAAACGTGCTTTTTTGTTTCTTGGAAAAAATTGAATAGGGGATGCGTGCGTGAGTTTATTCCTTCCATTAGTGTTTCTAAGATTGTGTATTTGTAGTGCAATTGGGAAAAACTCACCGTCTGTTGGGAAAGTTTCAACTTGACGCGCTTGGGCAGACCTGTGGGAAATGGCGCTGCATTCTTACTGCCTGCGGAAACTGATGACGACGGAGACGCCGATTGCTGTGTCTTGCTGCTGGTGGACGGTAAGTCGCTTTCGAGTGTGAGTGGCGCACGGGCAAATTGATTTTGGAACTGCATCACACACTGATATGTGCAGAAGTTTCGTATGGACGCATCCGACATGGTAAGATGATATTGTGGGGTGCCGGTGTTGCTGCAGTTGTCGCATTTGGTGACAGCACGTGCCGAAATATTGCAGGAAACACCATGCATGGTCAGACAATTGATAGAACATGTGAGCGTCTCTTGCTCTCCCTGCACCTTGCTGATCATATCGAAATTGTACTTCTTGACCTTGCACCATTGGCAGGAGACAATGTGGCGATTGTTAATGATGTACACATTTATACAAATGCGAGAACAAAACATTTTAGGCGATTGCTGATCCGCGTATATGGTGTGGGCATCTAAGCTCTTGCGCTCAAAGTATTTGCAGCACATGGAGCAGGGATCTGCATTGACGTTGCTTACAAACTTGAAGGCTGAGAAACAGGGATTCGAACAGAAGTAATGCTCCTTGTCGTCAAGCAGCATTTCGACGCGCACGGGCTTCTCATGGTTGCACACGCCGCAAATGTCTGTGCGTAATTTCTTTTTGGGATTGCACATGTTGTCGTAGCGACGAAGACAAACTTGTGAACAGAAGTCCTTGAACTGATCTTTGTCGCCAACAGGTGCCAGAAAACCCTCCTGCCCGCTGCTGATATCCTTCTGGCAGCAGGAGCACGTCTTCAGACCCTTCTTGTAGGTGTTCAAACATCCGGCGCAACAGAATTGCCTCACATCAAATCCAAAGCGTACACAGTACTTTCCCAGAGCTGTAGAGCTAACTTCCTGCTTACATGTTTCACATTTGGAACCAATTCTTCGCTGATAGCTGCCTAAGCAAATCTCATTGCAAAAATCCATAGTCTCCCAAACCAACAGCTTTTCACCCACAATAATGTCTGTCAAGCAGTCGGCACAGCGTCGTCGAAAACTCTCCATGCGATCCAGACGCGCTGCGTCCGCTTCGGCATTAGTACGCGCTAGGACACTGACCGACTCTGGTTTCTTGGTGGGCGATCGTATCGTAGTAGCTCCAATGTTCCGTACTCTTATGGAATGACGCTTCAATTTGTACTTGTCTGGCTCCTCTGCGCTCAGCAAGTTGAAACAGTCGTCATTGCATATGTAAAACGTCTCCTGGTCCTGCTTCAGGAAGTATTTACACTTTTTCTGTTCCTTGCAGTGTATGCAAGATTTCTTGTGTGCGTTTTCTGTGTCAGCTTCCTTATCAGCTGCCTGCTCGGTGTCCTCGCCCTCCGTTGTGGTAGGCGTATGTGCTGATGTTTCGCTGCTCACATCTTCATTGCTTACCTCCTCGACCAAAAATTTCTTGCGCCGCACGAAAAATTTTCCCGGCACCTCACTGAGCAATGCATCGCAACATGCCTGTTCGCAAAGGTATTCTTGTGTGGTTGCTGGTTGAGGTTCATCTTCCGCATCTTCGGCTGTTTCTGCCGTTTCTGCGTCAGATTTTTTGTACCGAAAACCACAGATTTTGTCCTCACCACATTGACGACATTTTTGTAGACTGGGCACAATCCAACCAATGATCGTCTTTGTGGTGACGCCGACCTCGCCTGCAGATGTGCCAGCCGCTTCCTCTGCCGTGGGTTCTTCGTTTTCAGGCATATCTCCACCGACATCGTTTTGCGTTTCAGTTTCTAGATAGTAAGAAGAAATTCATTAAAAATAATAGTTTATTGGAAATATTAAAGAAATGTTATGGGAAAGGTGTGGGACAAGGCTCATATTTATTTGTGGTGCGCTCACCTTCGGCACATTCTGCCACATCAGCTCCAGCTTCATTAATAGCTTGAGCATCTGCTGGCCGGCCCAATTAAATGAGCAGAAAGACGAAAAGATAATACAACTATGATAAATGCTTAAAGAAATGCATACCCAGGGACATACCATTTGTTTCAGCACCTTCTGCTGTTGACGATTCGTTTGCGTCCTCGTTGTCTGCACTAGTTTCCGTTTGGGCAATAGCCCCTAGTTCATTATCTGGCGATTTCGCAGCCGCCTGACTCTGCTCTGCCGCCTCTTCTTCTTCAGCAGCTTTTTCGGCATTTTCACGTGCAATTTCCTTTTCGGCTTCGGTTACCTCAGTTTCAGGGTCATCAGGTATGAGACATACATCCGATTCCTCTGGCTCGAGAACGTTCTCCACAGTATCTTTGAAATATAACAACATTAATTAACATTTGTGCGTATGGTTTATATTTGTTTTTATTACCATCACCATGCTCTGCATCAGGCGCATCTTCTGCCGCATCTTCTGGCGTATCGTCTGGAACACCTTCTGTTGCGCCCTCTGTCGCATCTTCTACTGGTTCTGCTTCCGCATCTTCTACTGGTTCTGCTTCCACATCTTCTACTGGTTCTGCTTCTGCATCTTCTACTGGTTCTGCTTCCGCATCTTCTACTGTTCCTGTTTCCCCATCTTCTACTGGTTCTGCTTCCGCATCATCGTCTCCACGTATTGTATCTTCTGCATCCTTTTCATTATCGTCAGCAGGTTCGTCTTCCGGCTCACCGACACTTCCATCAACTTCATCGTGACCTTCGGACTGAGCTTCGTTATCAACCACATCCTTTTTTCCACTATCATCGTCGGCGCGCGGTGACTCTCCACCTAGCGAACGCATCTCCACGTCGGCGGCGTCATCAACACTTTCATCCACTGGGTCTTTTGAGCCTTCGGCTTCATCCACATCCATCGCTTCACTGGATGCCGGCGCGCCATCGACCGCATCACCATTTTCGTTATCGAAAATATCTGATTGTCCAAGAGCATCTACTTCAGCGCCTTCGTCCAAGTTACTGTTCTTTGAGTTGTTCATTGCATCGATGGCATGCTCAACTTCCTCTTCTTCGTCGATATCTCCATCAGCATCCCTTCCTTCTGGCTGTACATCTGGTTCTGGAATATTTTCCGCGCTCTCATTACCAGCTGTTTCTTTGTTGTCATTTTCAAGGTCGTCCTCTCTGCTTGTTGACTTTTCTTCTTCCTGAGTTTCCGCCTTAGCGTCCTGTGACTGTTCATCCATTTCTAAGGAGCCCTCAGATATCTGTTCAAAATCTTCATCGCCACCACCGCCGCCCTTATCAGCCTCAACTGCTTTTTCGCCTTCCTCTTCCTCCGGAGCATCACCCTCTTCAACGACCTTGTCGGAGGTGGAAGGTGTGGCAGGCTGAGCATCTTCCTTAGCAGATGCTTTCTCTTTTGAATTTTCCTCATCCATTTTTGGCGTTTCCGTGTCTGGTCGGGCGTTGGAATCGCCACCGAAGGAATCTAAGCTGGATATCTCTTCCATATTGTTCTTTGGGGGTCAATGAGTCTTATTCGAATGCTTATACGGTATAAAACATGAACTGTAAAAGTGAGAAGTGAGAATTTAAAATAAAGGAAAATTTTTGCATTGATCACATATTCCCCATTATGTTTATAAGACCCCATCGTCTTTTCGCGCGCATTTATTCCTCCCCCACTGTGTATCGATAACAATAGTATCGATTCACTTGCCAGGGACTCGCACCACCATATATGTGTACTAATGTTACCGACACACACGTACAAACACTAGCACGGTGGTGTACAGTGCACAAAAAAACAAAACATGCGACCATAAAAACTAAAAGCATTCACTAGAGTAGCACAATTGGATGAAAAAGTAGCAAAATGTAATTACTTTTTGTCTAGTATGTTGCACAGTGGGTAGCGTATTTTGGTTTTGACGAATTCGCCTTTTCTAAATGTATGGGATTCGCCGCTCTGGCCAGAGAGACCCGTCGTCAGCCGCACAATAAATCTAAGCGCGTAAAGGTAACAACACAGGAGTTATCATTATTATATTAAGCCGCGCACGACACTTTTCCGTTTCCTAATGCATACGTTATGTTTTTAACTATCGTCTACACTTTTCACAATATGCAATTTCTATTTTTCGGCCACTGTAACTCGGCTTTAAACGAAAATGGCGCACCAGTGTACCCAAATTGTGTAGCCAGACAGCGCTGCATGCGGCAGATAAATATCCTAAATAATGGCAAACGCGTGCAGCTCTGCTGCACACATAAGAAGGTGTTGGCAGCACTCCGTGACGTTTAAATAAGGTGCAAGTGATAGGGTAACCCTAAATACAGAAAGTACTTACGTACATGTTTTTGTATATGCATGTATGCATATGTGTATCGTAGAACTGATACTCAAAAGAAAGGCGTTATACATCGTTACAATATGATAAACACAATTTTCATTTATTTAGCATTTTTCATTGTTCCTCATATTTAGAAATAATGCCATCCGCATCTAAAAGAACGTTGCGAAAGTAATTAATTATTTTCGTAAAATGCGGAAATTGTTGGGTGTTGCTGAAATTAATTTCATTCTCTCGTTGATACTTAAGCAGTATTTCAACCATTTCATTTGTGGGAATTGCCTTGGCTGCCAGCCAATGCTGTATGACGAAGTTAAGGGCGTAAATCTGAATATTCATGAGAGTGGGCTCAATCGCCAGTTCTCTGGCGTGCTCTAAAATTTTCTGAAAATACATTGTACATAACATAAATATGTATATTAAGATTAATAATAAAATATTTTGCATTATCTTAAGATTTCTATACATACAGTCATGCACACTTGTTCCAATGAGATAATGTTATGTCGAAATGCTAAATCGTAAGCTGGAAAAATATAATCCAGGGGCCAGTCCTTGTCCTTTACCTTGTCAGCAAAGCTGCAAAGCATCTCCGGCATGTTATAAGCGCATGATAGTATAAATATATCGCCTATAAGTTGCAGTTCAACTTTTGACGTCGATACTTCAAACGTATAAATAAATTCGAGGAAGATTTCCACAGCCTCGGGAGAAACGCCATTTATTTGTAGCACTCCATTCCATTTCTTGTTCTGGTAGACGTCTTGTTCCAGTTTATCTGAAGCAGTGGCTAGTAGAAGGCGGTGGCAACGAAATTTCTTATAGCACACATTGCCACCTTGAGCATCTGCGTCCGGATCCGCGCTCTGTACATGCACTTCGCAATCAGCATCGATTCCATTCCTAAGATACTGAAGGCGGCGTTCTTTGCTTGATTTACGAATCGGGTCCGGCTCCGGTTCCTCTATCGGCTCCGACTTTAATTCATTGAGCGATTGTGGATCATTGACACTAACCGCTGATACGGCAGATGATTTTGGGGCACATTCAGTGCCTACGCAGCTTGGTGTAGATGACTCCAATCCTTTTTCCTCCTCAGGGTCAGCCATTTTTCCCTTTTTATTTAAACGACGTGACAATTTCGGCAGAGTTCTATGGGTATCAAAATATAAAATTTACAACTTACAAAAGACCTACCTATCGGCACAAAGAAAAAGTTTTCCCACAAAACATATTTCCCCCTATTCTTTACACCCTCCACTAAAAAGTATATATTTATTTAATGAAAAGTGTGAAGGTATATTAATTTGTTTATGCATTCCTAATGAGACTATTTAAATCGCGGTCAATCTGTTAGTTTCCCGTCAAACCTCGTGAATCGGCGAAGGTGACCAAAATAAAGGAAGTAAAAATACTGGCAGATTAGATACTACGGGAACAGTAGGACTCTACTTCGCGGATGACCATGGAGAAATGTTTTTTAATTGTAAGGTCCAGTGTAAAGATGAATTCTTAGCACGTTTTAATTGTCTTCTTTGGTGAGAAAAATGAATTTCAGAATATTCGAATTACGACTCCAATCATCATGACAGAAGCACGTTCCAAATATCAAAGTTATCATAAGATTTAATAATAGTGTCCAACATAGGACACAGATCTTAAATAAAGACATACCTTTATATTGGGGGGACAAATATGATATAATGTTCATAAAATTTCAAAGATCAGGACATAATTATTCTTTATTTAGCACACATGCGCATAGATTTACATACATATGTACAGAAAACGGTGGAATCAAAAACGCATATACACACTATAAGTAGATAAATTCGCTTAAATGTAAATAAAAATAATACCCAATATTGGTAGAATGAAACATAGGGGCGCAACAAAGCTTAGAAAATAGGTAAATAAAGTAGAAATCCATGATAATAATAATGTAAGTGTGTATGTATAATATTCTTATATATGTATATAGAAAAACCTAAATCGCAAGAGTTTTATACATCAGAATTCCTAGGATGCTCTTGTTTCGGCTTCCTCATTATCTAGACCGTCAGTGAAATTCTTTTTATGATTGGCAATGCTAGTAGATGGCTTTACACTTAAGAAATCGTCGTTGTCCAAGACAACATCCTCTTCTCTATCTTCTACAATATTATTTGCATTTTCTTCATCCATATGACCAATTTCGGTTTTAATTCTCTCATGCTCGAATGGGCTGTTTTGTTGATTCCTGTAATCTTCCAGACGGACAAGACTAATGTCTAGACCGGTTTTGCTTGTTTCAAATTTGCACACGGCCGCAATACGCAAATTGACAATTGTCGAGAATAGTTTAACAGCCGGGCCCACTTTCAATTTTAAGTATCTGGAGAGATCATCGCGGCGCAACAAAAGAAGAGCTCTTCCATCGACATCCTCATCGAGAAGTACTTTGGCGATGTCTTCAGAGTGCAGCGACCGTTCGATATATTCGTACACATCCCAATTTGTCCAGTGTAATGGGTTAGTTTTGATCTCATCGATTTTAAAATCTCCGTTCGTTTGCCACAAACGATAGTTTCTTATATATTGTGGTCCATAGTCTTCCACAATAGTTTTGGCAATGTCCAGACTAACAAGGTCAACATTTTTAGCTGGGTCCGTATCTACAGAAGTTTGCTGCTCAACATTTGGTTCCAGTTTGATACCACTGGTGACCACTTCAGCTGGCGCTTCATGGTTTTCGTTTACTGATGGCTTTTCTATTTTCGCAGCATGCTTTGTTTCCCTTTCAAATTTTATTGGCGACTCTTCCATTATTCGCATGGGCGAAAGTCTTACAGATTTCGGTGCTGTATATTCTGAGGATTTTTTCGAACCAGATGATAGTTTCCTTTTCGAGCTCTCCACCTTCAAAGTATTTGACATTGTCATTGACAATGGTGTTGGGTGTTCGCTTTCGGAAGGTGGCAACTCACGGATTATCTGGAAACTAGATACGCGCGGCGGTTTCACTGTTTTAGAGCGCCATTGGCGCCAATTCTCCGGGGCATAGGGACAACAATCACGTAGAGCGTGTACATTTAGATTGAAACGTTTGGCATTTCCAAAGCCTCGACAACCTTCAACATCACAGGGCATTTGGGGCGGGCGCTGCAAATAACCAGGCGGTGGTTCCAATTCATGCGAAGTAGCCTCACACCAGCCAACCGGGTGCAAATCAGGACTATCATCCTCTAGCCAAAAATAGTACTCCGCTGGCCAGCAGTCCAAATGTAGCTGCACACGATAGCCTTTGCGCGTGACGACTGTCGCTGGGCGAATGAGGCATGGATTGCGCTGATCAACGACCTCAAGCTTCATCTGCGAATGAAATTCCATTGGCTCGCGGGGAGTAAAGAGCTCTGAGGGTGCAGCAACGCCTCCCATATCCCGTATATAATCGACCCAATTGAAGACTGACTTATGGAAATCTGGAGGCACTATTAGTTGCTGCCGACCCTGATGCCAATCGCAGGGATGTATGTACGGCGAGCTTACATGTGCCCAAAAGTCATAACAATCATCCCAGCCATCAAAATGTACGCGTATGCGTTCTCCAATGATGTCAGCCACCGTGGCCACACAAATTTTACCCGTATCATTGAGATCCTCGGCCTCAATATGCATGCCCACCTGTTAGAGAAGAGAGGCAATTGTTAAAAGGGGCAGAAATTTAATGACAGCAGATACACCTACCTCGAAGCCATTAATGCAGGGTGGTGACGATGCATTCAGGTGCGTAAAGAGCGAACGTGGTGCCGCCTTTTTGTTCGTCTTCACCAGGTACCGATACCAATTGAAGCGGCCCGCGTTATAGCCCTTGGGAGGCTGCAGTACGCGATTTGTGCGCTCACACCAACCAGGGGGGAAAATGTCCATGGAATCTGCGTTCACCCAGAAATCGTACATGGCGGAATAACCATCGAAGTTCAATTTCAAACGATAGCCACGCACTTCGACAATGGTGCAGACGCAAAAGAGCGAACAATTCTCCGGATCAATAGCTTCCAGTTTCATGCCAATTTCAAAGCAATTCGGACTGATAGGGAACGGATTTAGAAATAGGTGTATTGGGGCGGCATTGCTATTGCCCTTCATCATCAAATAGTCGCTCCAACGAAAAGGTTTCTTAGTGCCGGTGCTTGTGCTTCGTGCATCGATAGACTGGCGGGGCATTTTGCCAGGTGCAGACTCCTGTGAAACGACAGGATTGCGGCGTTTAAATGCTCGACGTTTTTGAGCTCGTTTGACGCAGTTGATGGAACAGAAACCTAGTAACACAAACCAATAAAAATCCTTATTAATCAAAAATACCTTCTGACAAATTATATAATATAATGAAAAGTATATAACATTTTTTTTGTTCTTTTTAATTTACATTTCTGCTCCATGGGTTTTCTTCAAATAGATTTTGGGGTTGGGAAGAGTTATTTTGTTGCTGCACTGCTGAAACTATTTTTTATTTTTGCTATCTAGCAGTATGAATATAGTTATGGTTAGTAAAGTGAGGGACTTACGTGGTGCCAGGAAATCGGTAGCTGGGCCATGACCATTGCATCGTATACAGAGATCGAGCAAAGGGTGCGTGTTTTTCTTCGGTCTACGGACGGGACGATCAAAAAGTGCCATCTCGAAGTAACTGGCCGGTCCCTGGCGCGGCTCACACCGCTCGCTTAACTGCAGCAAATTGAAGTGATTGAGATCAAAGCGCAGCTTAGAGTTCTGCATGCTGGCGGGTTCATTATTACACCACTGAACCATGTTGAAATACATCTGCATACTGCGCTTCAAGCTGTGAAACCTTTTACTGGGCGGGATGCGCTTTTCGTTCGTGGGTGCTTCCGCTTTTGACAATAGCATGTTTTCATTCGGTTGCTGAGCAAGCCGTGCAAATGGAGCCAGCTGTATAGTTGGAGCAGATGTCTTGGAGGTGTTACCACTGATTGAGCTCGACGAGGTAGAAGCCGATGAGGGTGAAGAGATGATCACCTGCTCGTCACATTTCAGCGACTTTTCAAAGTCCTCCGTAGACACAGGCAGCGTTTCGGCCTTAACAATGTTAATGGCTGGCATTGTTGGAACATTCTGCTGTGATTGCTGCTGCTGTTGGCCAGTAGGTCTGTTGACATCAGCAGACTCTACGGGCTTTGGAGATGGCACAAAAACTTCCTCCACATCGCTGCTATCTGCATCGCTATCCACATCCTTTTCGCTCGCAGCTGGACTGCTTTTTAATGCATTTAATACGTCTTCATTTTGTGATGTTGCTGTTGTTGTTGTTATGGGTTGAGCAGCTTCCACTGGTTGTGGCTCAGGTGATACGTCCTCTTCATCGGTGTCGTCTTCTATAGTAATGGTTTCAATTGTTTTTTGCTGTTCTGAGCGTCCTGCTACAATTTTGGCCATTACATTCACCGAATGTCTACGTCCTGGTGTACCCTGCTCCAATACATTTGTTCGGTTACCTGCCAAGGATTTAGAACGCTGTGTGCGATTGCCTCCGGCTGCTTCTGATACAATTTGAATAGGAGTTGGCGGACTTGGAACTGGCCGTGTAATGACGGCGCTCGGAATTGCCACATTTTGAACAGTCGCCATCAAATCATCCTGTTGTGCTGCTTGTAAAACTGGGGCTGGAGCCGGAACTGACGTTGATGCCGCTGTTATTGTGTCAGATACTTGAGTTTTCACTTGTTTGATGCCAGTTGTTGTTTTGGTTGGTGCAGGACTCAATTTGCTGGCTGTGGCAATGCTTGGAGGGGGTTTTGGGGTGACGGCAACAAAGGGTTTTTGCACTTTGGTCATTACGTGCTGTTGATGCTTCGACTGACACTGATCCTGTGCTTTTGGCTTTGATTTTTCACTATTCTCAGTGGGTGTGCCTGGCCTCGATACAGGTTTATTGCCATTGCATAGGTTCTTCTTATTGCCATTGAGTGCCTTGGCCAAAATGACGGAACCCCCAGCGGAATTCTGGACCTGTCCACATTTGGTAGCATTCATGTGGCCAAGACGAAACCGTATTTGCTCGACAGCCGATTTGCTTAGTGTTACCGAGGGTTTCAGTGGCACTGAAACTAAACAAAAGTAAACTTATTAAATAAAAATTAAGAATGTGATTCACAATATTTTCTTATAATAAAATGGTATGAGTCATTTCGTGGTCACTGTTCAGCAGTTATACCGATTCCTAAGACAAACAATAGATTAGCGAAAAATGCAATTATTTCGATATAGGATAACACACATTATTTTGGTACACGATCTGTTTACGTTTGAAAGCACTAAGATTCCGAGATAGATCTTTAAAGCTGTAAAGTTTCTCGGAGGCTGATCATGCATTCAGTTTCTTCTGTGATGATCAATTAAAACAAAACGAAACTAAAATCCCACCCAATTTCTAATGCAGATGCAACCTGAAAGAGTCGTTGCGCTTCGTTGGCACGCCCGCCTTACAAAAAAAAAATTTCTGCCATAGTTGTATAAAACGTTGATAAAACGCTCTTAATAAATGTTGTTATTGCTGTTGTTGCTTTGCAAGCATGTGTGCATTATAGCTCAATAAACTTTAGCATGCTTCGAACCCAAAACGAACACCTTGCACATGTGACATCAGCTCAAAACTATAAAAGTTAAAATATATTCTCTTCAAGTTCTGAACATCAGTGATGTGTTCGTTTTTCTTTTTTTTACCGAAAGTAATTTAATTCCAATTCAAAACAAAAACCGACTTCGATACTCACGAATATCTTTCTTAATGCAACCGCCTCTGCTGATTGAACAAGAACAGGAAAAAACAAAAATGAAATTTAAAAATAAATAAAATAAAGACGATATACTTGTAATGAACGTAGAAAAAATAAAACGGCATGTATTATGTACGTAAGGTACACACGCTGCTATAAAACACAATAATCTACGCACTCACGCCACCACGTCCGCGACCACCACAAAACTGAATGAGACTGGCGGCAGGCACACTCTGAATTGAAAGCGAAGCGAGCGAGCCCACACATATAACAGAAAACAGCATGCAGAGCAACATTTTGTATAGTCGACTAAAACTGATTGAAGAAAGGAAGAGGAAGAGGTGGCGGTGGCATTGGTGGTGGAGGAGAGGGCTAAGCAGCAAAATTTGTAGCTAAAAAAAAAATTACATATCGATCCGAGATCAAACTTTAACGGGCCACAAACTCGTCCACACTCAAAGGCACATTATATAACATCAGATAGATATATAAAGATAGCGATAGTGAGTGGGTACTTACCCGATTTGCCAGCAATGGAGACCAGTGCAGTGATGTTGGGCAATACCTTCGGGATCGTTGACGTCGTCGTCGTTGTCGTCGTCGACGACACCGCCGTCTGTGGTTGCGGTGTCGTTCCAGTGATTCCTACTGGGCTCGCCATCTTGGTGCTGTTGATAGGTGTATTGCTGGAGACAGAGACGCCATTCTGTGCATGAGCAGGCAGTATCATCACGGCTGGCTGCGGATTGCCAGCTTTGGCATTGACTGGCACTGGCAATATAGCTAACGTGGTTGAACCATTGGGGTTGGGGGTCAATTGAATGAAGGGACTGGACGCTGCAGCTGAGGATGCCGTTTGGCTGATATGGTGATTGGTTTGTACAACATTAATTGGCTGCAAATTGCCTTTGGGGGCCATAGTGTGGCTGTTGTTGTTATTAATATTGTTATTATTTACTGTAAGATGGCATGGCTTGGTGGGCATTGCAGCAATTGGTAAATAACGCACAGGCATGGGTTTTGATGTTTTTACACTAGTCACGCTACCAACAGGAGACGGAGACGGTTTCACACTCACTGATGGTGACATCTGTATTTCCATTTTTGTATGATTATGTTCCGCTGCGCCAATGTTGGCGGGCAGCATATTTATTTTCACACAATAGAGTTAATATTGGGCTAAAAATTTAAATTGTTTTTGCACTTTCGTTTTCAAAGTTTACTCGTCGCGACGCGTCTCACACTTTTCAACTGCTCAATTCATTAATTCATACGTTGCGCCGCGTTTTGTACACTACCATACAGTTTCGCATGGAATAGTATTCGGTATTAGTAGTATCGAACTTTGTTGGCGATAGTAACAATATCTTGTTTCTGTTCGCCGTCGTTTTTTTTCATCTTCAGAAACTTTGAACTTTAATTTTTTAAAATGTTTTGATTTAAATTGCTAATTTCATAATCATTTTTAACGCTAATTTGTTGCGCGTTTTTCAATCCACATAAATATATTTTTTTTTCAATGGGGTTGATTTAATAGCAAATGGCAACGCCAGCTCTTCACTTTTTTCCCGCAAGTATTTAAATATTTTTCTGTTACGAAATAGTTTGCGCTGAAAATATTACAAATACATATATTACACACAATATGAGTAATTTATTAAGAAGTTAAAATAATGCCAGTAATAGTATATGGCATTATAAATGCATTGCATTCTATTATGGTTTTACGCGCCCGCTGGCCAGGCTAAAATTTTTAAGCCAGTTGGCAGGGTTGGTATTGATACCATTTTTAGGTTTTCTTATATTTATTTTGTTAATGGGGTTTGACCAATGATTTCAACTGATGTTTATATTAACTACATTTCCTGCCCTTGGATGTTTGCATGAAATTAAATCAAAATTCAAAGGCATTGGACGGTTTTTTTTTAGCGTATACAAGCTCGGTGATGCTTATCAGAGGCTTGCCAAAAATTATAATCATGCAAATAAGCTATTTCTTTATTGAAAATTTGTATATGTATATGACCATGTTAATGAAAGCTTACCCTTAACTACATCTTCATCTTGATTAATCAAAACATAATAGGACAAACATATCTTTAGTCGGGGCAGGCGCTGAATGTATATACATATGTATGTAGGTACATACGTACATATATATTAATTAAAAGTTTCAGAAATTTGTAAGTGCATATATATTTAATATATACATGCATGTTTCTATGCGTATGATTTAATCCATAAGAGCATACAAATCTATAAAGCAAAATTATAATTACATTCATCAACGGAAAACTTACCTGGAAAATCATCAAGGTTTATTTTACCCCAGACGGCCAGAGGGCTGTAAAAAACATTTCCCTTTTCTTGTCTTTGTTTCTTTTTAGGAAGACCTGAATACTGTTTTTATATGGACTCGCTTAGTTCACAAAGGTAAGATTGACAGAAGACCTTTTCCAAGTCGGAGAAAAATCGGTATGTTAAAATGTTTAATATAGAATCAGGGCTGTGAAAGCACGCGTATCTATTTACCTGACGATCTTTGTGAATTGAGTGGCAACTCTGCGGTCACTAGTTTCGGTTATTTTTTTAAATAGATCAACTTACATGTTCAACATTTTTAATTCAAAATTTTACTTTACGTGAGACCTGTAAATAATGATATTGATTTGACTTTATCTTCATCTTAAACAGCTTAGTCCAACTAAAAACTGGACCCAAGTGAACTTATCTAATGGTGGTATCAATATTGTTAGATACCATTTAGCGCTATGCAATTTGCTTGCAAAGGTAACGAATGGAAAATGGAAAAATAAATGTGATTTTTCGTGTTTTTTATTTAAACAAAAAATATGAATTGCTTTGGTTTGATTTTGTTTATAGTTATCTTCTATGCTGTATATATGCATACAAAAAATGTTACACGAGAGCAGCTGATTGTTTTCAAAATACTCTTTCCGCCAGTGCTATAAAATTAAGTTTTGTTTAAGTGTTGAATAATATGTAGGTAGCGTCGAATATATAAAACTTTACCAACTTTACACATGCTAAAATTATTGTACAAGTTCTGCAAAAAGGTCGTTTTTATTATATTGTTATGTCATTTACAGATGGCTTTTAAAATGTTAAACTTACATAACAAAGCATATACCGACTTGGATGTAACTAAAAATGTCCTGCTGTTCCATTATTACAATTACCCGTAAGCTGTCGATGCTAACTTGACCCATATGATTGGCCTTTCGCATAGTTTTTGTACAGCCTTTTGGGAAAACATAAATTAAATAAAAGTCCAGTGACGATTTATTTATAACGAGAAACTAGAAAATTATTTTTAGCCCCTTGATCATTGCATTCTGCGTTGCCTGCTGTGATTTAGCACGTACAAAATACATCATATACAACAAAAACACTGGAGAATTAAATATAACTTTTGCAGAAAAATCAGTTATGTCTATAATCAACACATTACAAGATACTGATGACAACATTCTGCCCATTGATGAAGATCCACAGGGTGAGTGCAAAGGGCGGGTCCTCTTACATCACACTAATGTCATTTTATTCGCCCATCCCAGTTGTTATCAACGACGATGAGCCATCCGGTGCACAAAAAATACCCAACGGGCGCTCTATGGACTCCTTGCGGTCGTCGTTCACTAATCGGAGTTCCACGCCAGACTCCTCACACAATTCTCTTGATGTTGCGGACATCGGCCCTGATGAGCGAGAGGAGAAAGCACGTTTGATTACCCAGGTGCTGGAGCTGCAAAATACCTTGGACGATTTGTCACAGCGTGTAGATTCGGTGAAAGAGGAAAATTTAAAATTGCGATCAGAGAACCAGGTGCTTGGCCAATACATTGAGAATCTGATGTCGGCTTCATCTGTGTTCCAATCGACTAGTCCCAGCGCTACAAAAAAGAAGTAGGCAGTCTTTTAATCTGCTAAACACCGCCCACACACCTAAGAAGCCTTTGTCGTTCATAAAAACACTAAAGCGAGATTTTTTGTGTATGCACATTCCTTGATTCTGTGCGTAACTTTATTTATTAATTTAGGCTAAGCACCTCCGATCGAATATGCAATATACAAGTATTTATTTAACAATTACTATACATAAACTTAACGCACTAAAAAGCTTATGCTAAATAAATCAATATTACCCGCTTGGTATTTGAAGCATTAAAACTTTTCCTTAGGCTTGGCAACCCTGCGCCTATGACAACAGCTGGCCAGGGGAACAACACGTTCATTGGCAAAGAAAGAAAATTTATTTTCATTACAAAAAAACAAAGCGGATAAAAGATTTCGAATCAGTGAGCGATCATAAAAAAGTCAATTCGACCCGAGAAAAAGAGAAAAATAACATTCGCGGTTCGCCCATTACACGGTTAGTTACAAATATGGGGAAAAGTGATTGCGAAATAAGTAACAGCAGCTATGCGTGTAACAAATAAATTACGTTGTTGTTGTTCTTGTTGGTGGTGCTGTGAACAATGACAGATGCTCATCAATACCTAATAAGGAGCTGTGGCATTGAAACTTAAAATAATGATAGAAAAATCAAAGTGCACTAGAATTATTGTTGTTTCTCTTTTCCATTTCTTTGCGTTGGCTATTGGGACCAACTAATAGAATAAAAGTGCAGGGAGCACGATTTGCTCTCACGGCCCCCAACAATCGCAACAACAACGATAGCTGCAGACAGTTTTCCAGTGTTGCACAACACGGCTTACTGCCTGCAAACACAACACGCAGGCACAAACACACACATGCACATGGTGCTTACATCAACTCGTTTATTTATCGTTTAGCTTAATAATATTTATTTTTGAATTGTAATGGTGTGCCCCTTTAAAAAACACAAAGGAAGTCATTGCATCAACGTATCAGCACGCAGCGTTACGCTGTCTACGCGTATGGCGGAAGCAGACAGCAACAAAGGCAACAACAACAACGGAGACAGAAGCAGCAGCGACAATCGCTTTTATTTACAACAACAAAGTAAGCGCCCCCAAAATCAATGAAAATTACAACTACATGCAATTTATATTTGTATTTGTAGATTCAGTCCGAAACGAGTAAAGCAAATAACTGCAACAAAAACAACAGCACAGGGCAGCAGAAACGAAAAAAGTGCCGTCAAAAATATGTGTTGACTTCTGCAGCGCGTGTAACTGTAACGTCTGCTACTGATAGCTCTTATAATTTATTATTCACATTTCTCTTTGACGCACTCTGACGTCCGTGCGCCATCCGTCATCATTTCCTTCCTCTCAGTAACGAAAGCACAACTATCTGCCAGTCATGTCTTTTTCCGATTTCGATGCCATTTATGAGGACGAACAGCTGGATGAATTGGAGCATTTTCAAGACCAGACGGTAGCTCCAGTTCCTGAGCCTATTATCATACGTGGTGCTGGCAATATGACTGTGTAAGTTGGGACACATGGGTGGCAATATAATATTGAAAATAGGTCATTTGCAAAGAGATGGAATTCTTTGTTGGTGGTAATAAGACGTTACAATTAGACTGCAGTTTTGAATATGATTCAAGGTTCTTTTTACATATGCATGTCAATTTGGTGCAAACGCAGTTGCTTTCAGTTGATATTTGAAAAAAGATTTTGATGGATATTTTTATCCCAAATATACTTCTGATGCCGTTTCAATTTATGTTCATACATTTAAACGCATTAAACCTGGAAAGAATAGTTTTCTTGCATTATACAAGATAAATGCATACATTTTTAAGCAATTCCCTAATACTGTTGTATGTTGAAAGGATGTCTGCATTGCTTTACAGTCTAAAAATTAAATATCTTTAGACACTTAAAGATTCGATCTTAGAAAGGCCTTTCCAATTACAAAATCGCTCATGTCCCAAACAACATTTGCAAAACTCTTAACAATAGGATAAAATAGAAAAGGAAAATATGTTAATTGAAAGAACTTTTAAAAACCAATATTTATGTTTTGGTTTTGATTCCAGCTTCGGTCTCAGCAACCGCTTTAACACAGAATTTCCGTGCGGTCTCGTCTCTAGAGTTGCGCCTGAAGAATTTAAGGCAACCATCGGTCGGATTAATGGAATACTAAAGAAGACGCTGCCTGTGAATGTAAAATGGCTTTTCTGTGGCTGTGTCTGCTGCTGCTGCACACTCGGATGCTCCCTCTGGCCTGTTATATGCTTGAGCAAACGAGTACGTATTGTTATCACAATAAATATTTATATACAAGTATGTACATATATGTAATAATACTGTTTTGTGAACTTATAGACACAAATAACGCTGGACAAACTGCTCGAATGGGAAAATAGTCATCTATATCATAAGCTTGGGCTACACTGGCGCCTGCATAAGCAACAATGTGATTCCAATTCCATGATGGAATATGTTATTTTAATTGAATTTATACCTAAAACGCCCATCTACCGGCCCGACTAAACGGCTTGATGGGACGGCTTAACGTAGTTGTAAATTATTATACATACTAGCAACTAAAACATTGTTTTAGGCGTATACATTTACAAAGGCAAGCCACTAATTTAGTGCAAGTGTCAGGTGTATTGCATTCTGCAAGCAAATTAAAACACAGGATGCATACATATACACAATTTAAGCTAATTTATCAGTAGTAATATTTAATTTATAGTGTAAACAAATTTTCAGAGAAATGTGTAGCTAGTAAGAAAATTTAATTTCTCGTATGTAAATGTAAGGGCGCTTTAATTTTCATTTTGTTTTAAATATGCAAATGCAATATTAAACAATTTCTTGTTAAGAAATTCAAAAATTATGTGTTTGTATGAAACTACTTTCTAGTTTTCAGGTAATTAATCAAGGATTTATAATATATTAAAGTGGATGGCGACTTATCTTCAAACGAAGTTTGGGAAAAGTATAATAGATCCTGGATATTTGGTACCCATCAGGATTCTGTATGTATGGTAGTACGTTTAATCTTTCACTCTCAAGTTTTAAGCTCACCAACACAACGGGATTCCCCCTAATTATTCTAGATTTGTATGTACATACATACTTGTATGTATGTATGTATATACATATGTATACTCTGTATGCTGTATGTATCCATAATTGTACTACAACTTTAAATACTTGTAGTTATACAATCAAATGTTTTCGTTTAAATTAACAGGGACTGTTTTCTTTATTTTTCCCATTTGATAAATAACTAAATACAATATATTTCATTAATAGATAGTGTTATTAACTATAATAAGTCTTTTTTTTCGCTCTAACAGTGCCATTTTAGGAAATCAATTACAAAAAAATGTCTTGCTTAGTCGGAATGTTTAACTATTCTTGGAATACAGTAACAGAATTGTACGGATAATAATACTTTAGACCTATTATATAAGAGAAGGAATGGAATTATTATAATCTACTGCGTATCGAGGCTCTGACTTGAGGCATCGTCAGTTGTCGGTGCTTCCTTTGTCATCTCGTTTGCCTCACTCTCTGCCTCAATGCTCTGATGTGTATCTTCATCCACATCACCATTAAATGGCTTTTCTATTCCTTCGATTTGCGCAGTTTTTCCCTCTGAAGGGTCAAATTGCATGGTGCTAATGCCACTCACATTCTCATCTAATTTTCCTTGCTTTGCTGTAACTTCTGCTTGTGCGGTTTCCATGTCTTCCTGCAGCTCAATTTCTGGCTGCTCTTCGACTTCCGCTTGAGGACCACCTGTCATTATTTCAGACTCTTGCAACTTGGCGCGCGATTGTTTCGAGTCCATCGGCTCCACCTTTTCAACCTTTTCAACCTTATGCACCTGCTTGATTAGATCGTTTGCAGTGCGCAGCAATTCATCGGTTTGCTTGCGAAGGGCACGCATGACGATCGTGTCTTGCTTCAGCTGGAACTCATGCTCTCGCCGCGCCATCTCCTTTTGCTGTGTAAAAAAGTCTCGCATCATGTTTGACTGCGCGGTATACAAGGCACTGGTCAGTTGGCTGAGCTCCTTCTGAAAGATCTCGTCCTGTTTTAATTGCTGCGCCTCGTCTGCGCCCTTGCCGCTCCCGTGATGATGATTAGAAGTGCTGCCATTACTGGCCGTATCGGCCGTATCTGCACCATCGCCTTCATCCTCGCTATTACCACCGAACTCTGCGTCATAGCGTGATTTCAGGTTGGAGACTGAAGACATATTACGCTGCTGCTTTGCAGTAAGGGGGGAAGGCATGTCGGTAATCGCTCGCCTTTTGCGCTGCTGCATTATTTGCGCCTCCATCTGTGCCTGACGGCTGGTCGAAGCTGTTGTAGGATGGCCAAACATGGCGCGCGACAACATTGTAGGCACCACCGGTTGATTGGAGTTTGGGGATTGCGGCGGCGAGATGGACTGATCTAGATCCGGTATCAGCCGTTCGGGACGCAACGCGTAGGCAGTCTGGCGCATAGGAACCTGCTTGAGTCGCATCGCGTTGTTGTTGGCGGCAGTATTGCGTGTATTTGTAGACTGTATGCTGATCTCCCGTGGAATACGCACCGGCAGATTCTTACGCGCCGCCGGATGCTGCAGCGTTGGCAACATCAGCTTGGTGTTGGGATGCGCAAAATTGATGCTACCGCTGGTTTGAAGCGGACGCCCACGCATACCTGTATGCTGTGCCGCCTTGACCAGCGTCTGGGGTATTGGACAATCGATGTGCAACACCCCATGCGTAGGATGTTGCATTCTGTCCTTGGCAAAGGAGGCTACGCGCAGCGGCGGTAGCTGAGGTGTTGAGGTAAACATGTTGCTCTCCGTAGCCAGCAGTTTCTGCATTGCTGACGAGGGTGTGGCTGAGGGTGATGTCGGTGCAGTGGGGGGCGGCGTGTGAGTACCATTTCCATCTAAGTGCACATTTAGATCCATATCAGGCTCATTCTTTACGGACAACACAAAGGGTGTGTGATCGAATCCGTTGTCTGTGGCCAGCGAGGCATTTGTGCTCCGACTGAAGTCCAGGGTATCCCGTTCAGAGGTGTCGTCAGGATTGATCACTGTTTCGTAGCCTGAAAAAGTAAAATTATTAATAATTATCAAATAAAACAAATCCTTAAATTGGAATTGAAATTCCCAATTGTGAAGAGTTTTTTAGATCAGATATGAAATCGAAGCAATTACCCTAAGTTTGTTCAACCTAATTTTATATTACCGGTGCTGCTATCGTTTTTTTAGCTGTCAATGAATTTCAATAAAAGAAATAAAATAAGAATAAAAATCCAATTTTTGAGCAGGCCCCTAAATGTGTTGGAATTTGAAATATTTCTCTTTAAGTTATATTTGCAATACTATCATTCTCAATTATAGTTTTTTTTTTTTATCAATTAAAGAATTTTAATTCTATAAGTCAAGTTGATTGAAAGTTATTGCAGTGAGGAATGATTAGTTACATTTTTTATGGAAATTTGCCACCATCTTTAAATATTTAGCAACTTACGACTATTTGTTGAGCTTCGGAAAATATATCTCAAAGGTTTGTTGTACCAGAACCCCATATGTTATTATTGAGTTGTTATTGCTTTGAATTAATTTATGACAATTTGTGTCCCAATTATTTGCTTGTCTGGCCATAGTTTGAATTTAAATAGACCGCTGTACCTGTATCAATTGGCTCCGGTTTGATTGCGCCCAAACGAAAACCAAATATTGGATGTTCAACGCCCATTTCCGAATCGTTGTCTAGACTGCCATCCTCCTGTTGTTGTTGGTTGTGCTGTGAAAGGTCAGCCGTACCGTCCAAGGAGTTTGTTGAATTTTCGCACTCGCTGCCATCATCACCGTTCGCATTGGAACTCAGCATTTTGCACAGAAAACGGTAGACCTCCTCGGGGACGGTCTTTGGGGTGCCCAGCTTCTGACGTTGAGTAGTGTTGTAGGTCGACTTGAGAAACTTCCATTTTGTCCAGATCTGCACTACTGACTTTTTTACAAAGCCCTTGCTGCGCATTATCTCCTCTATACGCTTAAAGACGTTTTCACTCTTCACATTGCGATCGTTTAGTAGCTCAACGGCCCTTATCTGTTGCATTATGCCCAACATTTGCAGCATTTCCTCGCGACTCCACAGGTTGCGCTCAGGTTTTGGTTCCTTCCCGCTCGCATGTTGCTTGACGCGCAGCGGCGTGAGGAGACCATCAACATCGCCCACAACTCCGTTTCCCGTCGCGGCTGTATTGATTAGCTTTTTAACGCTTTGATTTTGATTCTGTTGGCGCATATTTTGCTCGACTTTGCTCAGTAGTCGCATTTTTGTGTGTTCGGCCACTGTGATGGGGGCCGGATGGGACCTTTTGCTGCTCCCGGAAATAGAGCTGTTGTTATAGGTGTCGTTGTTGTTCTTGTGGTAGCTGTGGGTGTTGTTTTTGTTGCTGCTGCTGTTGGCTTGCAAGCGCGGCATCAACATTTAGACGACAGTGCACACTATGCGACTTTGTGTGTTCACGATAAATTAAATAGAGAGCTGTAAGAGAGTATAAATATAAGTTGGTAACAGTTGGTTCAGTAATCATTCATATACATACATATATGTATGTATGTTGTACACTCATAATGTGTATATGTATGTATATAATTAATACAAAGATGTCTAGTTTGAAGCCAATACTTGTAGTATATAAAATTTGAATTTGAAATTCACAAAGCTCTGAAATATCAGTTAACATAATCTTAATGTCTATTTCTGCAAGGCACTCAAAACGCTGATATCTAACAATAGAACATTACATAATCATTTTCACGTGTTCGCAACTGTCAATACACAATATAATATACATTTTTATCGATTTTGATTAAGAATTTCAAAACGAATAATAATGACAGCGACGAATGGTAACACAAAAAGAACGAACTCAAAACACCAACACGCACGAAAAACACCGACACTCACAGAATTCTTACAAAACAAGTAAAAACTCAATAAACCAACTTGTACAAAACCAAACCTGACGATGATAACGAACGAGCACCAACTTTAGAAAACGTTTATAATCTGGCAATAAAATAAGTAATAGTATTGTTGCCACATATTTCTATGCGTAATCAGTTTTTATACTCGAAACAAGAAAGCAAGAACTCAAAATTATAAGTTGAAATTATTATTTTTTGTCATACTTTTTTTTTCTTTTGAGATGCATATGTATATAGGAGATATAAATACAGTCATGTATTTAAATGGTGGAGGAATGAAGCGACCTACGTATTGAAATCTAAATAACAAAGCTGAGTAATTTTCCAGCTAGCATTTCAACGCTTGTCGAACCAGAGTTGTTTGAGAACTACAGTGGTTGTAAAATGTACGTAATTTGATAATGGGTGGTCACTTGTATCCGATTTAGCTTGAAATGCAAATCTTCCGTGTTAATTATTCGCCTAAATAAAATCACAATGCACTTAACCTGAAACATGTCCGCGGAAAGATCGATATTGATAATTTGTTTTTATTGATTATCGTTATTGACCATTTGATCTTATTTTGATATTAAAATACCAAAATTTCAACTAATACTCGATACTTTTTATATCCATGTATTAACATGATCTGGAAAGACTAAAAATGTAACTCTTTAACTTTTTTTTTTTGTCAACCAATTTCTATCCATTTTAGTTTCGAAATATTTCGAAATTTGTATTTAAATGCTATGAAGTCAGAGTGTTATTTGCTGTCTAAAGTCAAATTTGGTTAGATAAAAAGTTCTTTTATGCATTCGCTGAAAATTTGAATAGTACATGAATCAAATTTAAGTGCCAAAAGCTTGCAGGAAATCGAAACTGCGCGACATGTTGGATGATTCAGAATACACCTGATTTAATTTTAAATAGGGCGCCTGTGTAATCACACTGTAGCACTTTTAAACGGATTAGCTTCATCCGATACAAGTTGTATTTAAATATTAGTAATTTTTCATTGATTTTTAGCTGTGACTGTGATTTTTAATAGCCAAATACCACTGTGTACAAAATTGGGAGCGAAAAACGATGAGAGAGCAGGCTGAGCTGTTCTCTGTCTCTCACATAAACTCACACAGACACACACTATGGCAAAAACACAGCACGAATGTGCGCTTATTATGCGCCTGTTGAGAATTTTTCAAGAAAGCAAAAGAACTCAGCAAATAAAAGTTTTACATACAAATGTATGTATGCATGGTATGTATGCACATATATATGTACGTACATATATATTGCCACTTCAATTAAAATGTTCAATAAAATAACATTATCTGGTAGCAATGACACTGATTCCAAATACCAAATAAATATATAAAATCAACGGAACAATTCACCGATAGGTTGTGTTGGCAGTTTAAACAAGAGCTGTGTCTGCACGAATTTCATATTTTCCAAACAGATTTCAATTATTTAACTATTTTTGAGACCGAAACTGTGGCAAACAAACACCTTACTAAACGACTGAAACTCACACATACACGTGCAGTATAGAGAGCAGCGTTCTCTCTCTCTGAGACATCAGCAGCAGCAGCAGCGCGTCGTCCGCAGAATAACCACCCGACTGAATGAAAATTTCAATACTGACGACTGAGTGTTTTCGAAAGCAACACGAAAGCAACGAAAAGATATATACTACATATATATGTATACAATAAAAAACGGGGCTACAAAAACTACTACGTTCGTATCATACACACATACTAGCATATTTACAATACAATATAGCGTTATTTTTTTGGAAAGGCGTAAATGATGCTAGAGTTGTTAGGTTTAGTTATATTAGCACACGAAGAAGACGCTCAGAATGAATCTATAAATTTATTTCGTATTTAATAGCCGGTAAAAACGAGTTTTTCCATTTCTTAGATTTTCTTGTGCGTTAATTTGTACTTTTTATTTGTATTTTTTATTTTGTAACGACTCAAATACTCAATGAGGAAAGTACATGGCAACGATAAAAATTGTCCCTATTTTTTTGTTGGCCTCCGCTTTTGAGCCACATTGCTCTTTGCATTCGATTCTGTTTTATAAGCTTATTCTCGATTTGGGTTGGATTTTACTCATTTTTGAGCTTAATTGATTCGATGGATATAAAAAAGGAAAGATTGACATTTTATGGGGATGATTTCACAGCTCATCGACATATTTAATAATGCGCTGCATGCTGTGTAGCCTCATGGATTGATGCTGTTGCCCAGGTATACAATAAACAAGAATTACAAGTTCAAGGCCAGGAAAAGAACGTGAACGTTTTTGGTGACGGATGGCGAGAGGAAGGGGCAGAAGACTGTGTGCAAGAACAGGAAATTAGAACTCGTCGCTAAAATTGAAACGCTGGAAAATGCGGAAAATATTTGATGCTTCAATAAAACACACATTCATCATGTATATATATATGCGTGTACAAATGTACATAGATACATAAGTATCTGCTCAAATCGCTTTATCTGTCAATGCAATAAAATTGAGTATTAAAAAAACCAAAACACCACCAATATGTGCACATAACTGTAGTATTAGAGTTAAGCTTTAGGCAGATACAAATGTGTGAACGTAGACAATTTATTTTGTTATTGTTGATAAACAAATGTGTACGCGTACACACGCATACACACATTCACACACAGTACATACACTAAATATTATCGGCTATAGGAAAACAATGAGAAACACACACTCTGGCACTCACATCAGAAACAGCTCTAGACTTGGATGATTCATGCAAAATCCAACACAACTAGCGAGCTAGAATCGAGAATCGGAACTGCGAAAAGAAAAACCAGCTTCTGCCTGCTTGCCTGTGTGTCGAAATTTTCGTATAGTATATCTGAAAGATTTCATAGAGCTCAGCTGATTTGTCGCGCAATGTTTGGGAAGGCAACATGCTGAATTTCAATATCATGCGTTGCGATGAGGGACCGGTGTTAGTGTAAGTGTAGTTGTATCTACACTTGTACGTATGCATACATACATGTATATACATATACATGTGTATGTGCGAGCCGCTGTATCAGCACGCTAGCAGTTAAAAGGCCATACCAGTATAAAATTTCAAACGTGGAAAAAATACATTCTGGGAAAAAAAACAGGTATTATTGTTAATACAAAAATTGATCGGATTGAATTATAAGTGGTTTTGACTTTTTATTTAGATATTTACCCATTAATTTCTATAATTCGATGTTTCTGTTATTTGGTCAAAATTTAATAATTATTACAATTATTGAACGCCTTATCTAAATAATTTCATTTAATATAATTTTTATTAATTTAACTGTGTGGTATTCACTGAAACCAAATAATTAATGCGAAAGTAAACCACTGCAGCTGTGAAGAACATTTATTCTTAATTCAAATATATTAAAAGTGTTGATGAACTTCAGTATTTCGATAATGTTGCTTTGAAATATAATAATAATTAGCTTAACTATTGGGATAACTTCCGATTTTTCAATTAGAAAATAATAGCAAAATTGATGAAATTTAGTAAAGCATGCTCAGCACCTGATACAAAGCCAACTAATAAAATATACCCAGAATCGAGTTTAATATATACATAAGTATTTGGTTTTCGTCGATAAACTGAACAGCGAACAATAATCAAAGATATACACACATACATATGTACATAATTTACAGTAATCTGGAATATACGTACATATTGTTAATTAGCTTAGTGGTAAAGTGAATGTTAAGGAATGCTTAATTTAACAAAATTCTTTAAGTTGTTTTATTTAGTTTTTACGAATATTTACTCTAAAAAAATATTTACTCTAAAAATGGAATATTTACTCTAAAGCTGCATTCTATTGATTGAGCTATTCATATGACCATTTCGTCCCTAATTTTTTTTTTGTAAATTTCCAATAAGTGTCCATAAAGAAAAACCTATTAAACAGATACTACGCTATTTTTGATATCATTGGGGCGACAGACCATCAGCAACATTATTTTCTTCTTTCAAGAAAATCCGCTATCAAGTTTTTATACCAGTGGTGAAATACTTGACGTTTGGCGAAATCAATATAGACGATTGGGGACTAAGAATTTGAAGATTTGAACTCAGCTACCGCTCATCTATCTTATTTAAAATGTAATATATTGAATTGGAAATCGAAAATGTTTGACTAACACAAATTAGTTATATTTTTATTGTAGTGATATTCGAAAAGCCAGTGACAATTGAATCGCATCACTCGAAAGGTATTGGTATGTATGCATTAACTTTATCCATTTGACCTTGGTAGATGCACTCAGCTATCCAGATGATGTTGCGGCACTCCATTTCTTTGAGTTTGATATAGGAATAGAAGACACCATAATGAAATTGTCGCATGTAGGACTGCACATGCTTCTTGGCTTCGAGCATGAGGAAGCGGTCTTCAAGCGAAATTAATCCGTCTGTGTCCTTCTCCATGCTATCAAATAATCCTGAATAGTCCATGAAATAACTGGCCACTGTGCGCACTCCATCAATATCAGTTACCTTTTCTAGTTCTCTTAGACCAGCCGGATAAAGTTGTCCTAAACTGGGAAAGAGCTTGGTACGATCCTCAGGCAACAAGTCTGTGTCTATTGAGTTGATTGTAATGATGATGGAGCGGCGATCCGCCTCAAAGCCCAAGAGGTCGCACATAACATCGGCGGTGGTACCACCAAGACTTTTGCAAAACTTATAGAAGTCCTCCAAATATGCCTTGTACAGAATATTGCGGATAATCTCGACGTTGATGTCTCGGAAATCCTCCTCATCGATTTTATCCGATAAAAATTTCGCCAAGGGTGTATCGATCAGTACTGCGCTGAATAGCTCATTTGTGTTGCTGGCCACTTCAATTGCCTCCAATTGATCAAACAAGCCCAAAGGATGACACATTGTAATTAATTTCTTCATTGGTCGGTTGTTGTTCAAGCCCGAAATAAGCAAAACTACATTATCGATCATATGTTTGTAGCGCATATAGTCCAAGAACGTGGATAACGGCTCGGTGGAGTTGGACCGAATGTAAGAAAATTGTCTCACGAGCTTTTGTCGCAAACGTTTCTCAAAGTTTTCAATTAAAATAGGCGTCTTATCAAACGCAAAAATATTACCATATTCGGTGCTTTGGATGTTCAACTTCAAGTCCTCTAGAGTTTCACACTGCGTGAGATTCAAATAGTCGGATTGCCTCAGCATGCCGTTCTTATAGCCACGAATAATACCCTCCAAATAGCCGGTATCACAGTTATATGTATAGCTATACGGCATTGTACAAACGTTTTTAAAAAAAAACTTTCCTCTTTAGCAATACTTGAATTCTTCAACCTAATTGAATTACTATTACGCTTAAGTTGATTTGCAATGCCTGCTCTGATTTTACATGATTCGGACTTGAGAATAGTTCAATAACAATAAATGAATATGACAGACTAATAACTTTTCTTAGAATTGACCGATTTTTAGCCTTCGGGTACATAGTGTAAAAATATTTTAAATGTTCAAATAGACAAAAGTCGTTAGCATGTTCTCTGAGAATGCGCAAAGAATAGAGAACAAGTTTAAGTATAATAAAATGTATAATAATAACTAAAAATTATTCTTTATATTGTGACATGCACGCGGGCTTCTTTTCAAATACAATACTGATAAATCAGGCAGCTTTTGCATGGCTGCGCAACAGCCGTTGCTGCAAGTGTTGCCATAATTTTGTCTTTTCTAAGAAAGTGGCAGCTCTTACAAATAAAAGGTGACCTGTCCGTTACTTTGCAAATGGAAATGTGATAAGCAGTTATGTTAAAATTATTACATATTACATTAACTAAATTAAACAATTGTGTAGTTTTTAAGATGCTGCTGATTAGTCTCCAAAAATATGCATACAATAATTTTGATAACATTATTTATTACTTACAGAATTCTATCGCATTGTTTATACCTTCCACCCACACAATTCGGTCATGCTGGATGCAATTATTTTCGCTCTCTCGCTCTTTTTATTTGCTTATGCACATGCGTCGTCTGGAAGCTGAGGGACCTGTTGCCATTGTTTACTTTCGGCTCGATTTAGTTTCTTTGCTGCGCTCGGGGATTAAGCATTAATACACTTTCTCAGTGAATGGTTTCTGAAAATAAACCCATAATATAGTAACACAAACAAGTGAATGAAATATAGCAGTTGGACTGATTTTATTTGTATGCATAATTTTTAATTGGACAGAATAAGAAGAAATCGTGCGTGTAGAAAAATAGGTGAATTATTGAAATATTCAAATGTGCTTGGACACTTCTTGCTGCCTTATTTAATTAGCGTTAACGGGCGCGTTAACGCATGCAAGACACATGTAATGTAAATAAATGCAAGTATGTCGAATCAAGTTAAAAGAAATATGAAATAATTTACGGTTCATAAGAGGACGGGCGCAGAGTGTATTTGAGTTACCGGTTTGTTTTCGTCAAATGACTTCGCTTCGCCAATAAATGAAGCCGTTAACCATACATTGTCACCGGTAATTACGTTGCTATTTGTACAGGTGAGTTAATGTGTGGTATTGTGTGTTTTTGCTTTACAATGCAGGAATTACAAAAAAGGCATAGATAAGTATTAGAATTTCAATACCTGGTAAAATAATTTGATGAGCTGAGTAGTCATACATTTTAATTAGAGTTTATTTGTTTGGTTGGCTTATTGTTTATTGTTGCTTGTGCCACTTTTCTTACAATTGCTTCAGGCAAAATAATTCATAATTTTCACGTTTCTCTAATTAGATTGCAATCAAATAATATGCGATTTTAAGAATAATTTCTATAAATAGGCCTCACACAGAGCCACCCACTTGAAATACTTCAAAGAATGTAAGATGAATTGCAAAGCGTTTAGATTTTCGCAAATATTTTATATTGGCAAAATTAACTAGGCTAATAGAAATACTTAAATGCAATCATTAGCTTAGATGCAATCAATTTGATTTCTATAGTTGATATTTATAATTTATGTGTAAAGTAAGTAATGTAAAACAAGCCTACCGTACAATGATTTTCTTTCATTTTAAAAGATTGCAGCATGTTCGTAAATATTTTTACTGAACTTTTGGACGAATACTTATCTCCATAATTTCTAGCTAATTGTTATAAAATGGCATCTCGTAAAAGATTCCCGATTTTGACGGACCGATGTCATTTCTAAATGAAGATACGTCGACTATTATACCTACATTTATAAAGGGCGCCTTGAGAAGACACAGGTCATAAACTTCTTCGACTTTTCGATAAGGAGGCGTAATTCCTCTAATTGTCCATCTTATAAAATTTTGATGACTAACGCCTTGACATTTAACTGATAAGTTTTGATGAACAAGTTTATTGCTGACATGCTTCCAAATTGTGGAAATGTCGGCTGACAGATTTATGATGGTCAGCAGGTAAACCATATGAAATTATATTATATATTCTATAGCGTATGTTAAGTGTGAAAGATAGTTCAGCTTGTTCGTTCTTGAATGGAAACATGATGTCATTTAGATGTTATGGGAAATGGGAAATGACAAAATGTATGAACTGTGTTCATTTCGTCTTGAAAAGTCTGTGTGCAGCGCCATAATAAGCCCGATAGATATAGACAGCTAAGGCTGCGTGTACAGCAACGACTGCTCCTATCGCTGATATAATGTCCGCATCAATGCCAGTGACCAGAAATACATTTTCCAGCACAATGAATTTCAAAATGAAGAAAGTGAAGATGGGAAAAATGCAAATCAATACGCAGTAGAACATCAGTAGTAACACTACAGAGGCGGCGCCCAGATCTTGAGAATTCTAAACAATTGGTGAAAGAGGATCTGCATGTAATTTCTGAAAGAGTTATCCTTCTAAAATAACGTACCAAGCCTTTCCACTCGGCCAGGGTTTCTTGCTTTTCCATTTTTGAAAATTCCTGCATAGCAATTAACCGGAAAATATAGGCGGTTAGACCTACATGCATGGCAATAACTGTGCCCACTGCGGAACCAATATCGGCATTCAAATCGGTGTTACTTATGCCAAAGATCCACTGAAACACAAACAGCTTCAGTGCACTAAAGATGAGCAAAGGAGACAGGACCAGCACCACAAAATAAAAAAGCAGCATGTGAAGGCACTGTAGCAGATGCTGTGCTCGATTTTTCTACACAGAGGGGAGAATCAAATACAAATATGTAGATGGTAGTATGATTGTCGACGCACCTTTGATATGCCGGGGGTTTCCATGCGAGGCAATTCCGGGCTGAGTCCAGACTCATTTTTTGCTGAACGAATTTTCCGTAGCTGGAGCCTTATTGTTCGCAACATTTTGAAAGTAATTGTGAGTTCGACAAATGTGACACAACAAGCAAGGCTCACAAATGTTTACTATCGAAAGAGTTGCTTTAAAAGACGATGATATGGGTAGTCTATCGTAATACTTCCCAAAAGTGAACATACTCTTCACTGCTCTTGACGAGCCACAAAAGTTTGTTTTCTGATAATAATGAGAGAGGAAAATGATGGCTTACTTTTAATGGGAATTAGGAGGCTTAAGAAAAATAAATAAATAGTATACACATATATCTTAAAGCACTTGCGTAACCAGCCCATTTGCATTGAAGTACTGCCATGCTTATAATACTATTTCTTGTATTATCAGATACATATACTACTAAGTAGTATGTTTCCCAATTTGCAATTTATAATTACTGGATTATCTAAGCAGGTCGCTATAGAAAAAGGGGAACATACGCAGTGTTGATTGAAAAAATCTCTGTACCTAACTGGATTAAATACCTTTAATGGCCTTCCTGTACTTATGCAGGTATGCTCAGCTAAAAATATAACTAAACACGCATTTTTATATGCCAGCTTATTAAATCTCAAGCTCAACAGAATTAAATGGAATCCAAGCAATAACTGCATATATGACATGCTTTATGGGAAAGCAGAAATATCTAGTCGCATGACCACGCGCCATATTTTTATGGCATAAATAAAGTGACATTAAGTTGAAGCTGCCAGGCACTTAGTTGGCCGCTCATAAAAGTTGTCATAAAAGCTTTGTCTAAATTGCGCCAAAGTAGTCCAAAAAATAGATTTAGTAGCTGAAGGCGATAAGATAAAAAGCCACAGCTCTCGGATATTATTAACGATTAATTAGGAAGACAACCCCTAGGTGTGTTGCCAGCTGGACAGCGGATATTTCTCTGTCTACAGTCCATCCGATAAGGAGGCCTGCAATCAGTGCCCATTGCCGGTGTCGTGATTTTTATGAACTCGCCCAAGATAGCTGTTATGCAGAATTTATTGGCCAAGATTAAACAGTTGCGCCTTTTGTTTTGGTCAGCTGACCGACAAATGAACAATATAGCGTTTGTTGCTGTTGCCATTGAGTATTTTCCCAACTGTGATGCGTAATAGGTATATATAGTATTCAACGAAGTACTTATCTGCCTTTCATTCCTAAATATACTTACGAGTAATGTATATATTGCCATAAATAATGAATAGTGACAATTATTTGTCGCAGATGGCATTTCAATTTGCATTGCCATTTTATTAAATAGGAAAAGCAGCAATGGATTTTATTCGTTCAAATAAAAACATTATATTATATAAAAGCTGGACTAGTAAACAATTCCGTTCCAATATTTCTAGAATGTCTAGACGTCTAATGTATGTAACAGACATAAGAAGATACTTGTGTACTATACGATCAGCATGACGGGGCATGTCGATAGACTTGTTCGTCTGTCTGTCCAACCGTCCGTCCTTCCGTCCATATGAACACGGAAAACTTTTGAACTATAACAGCTAGGGTCACCAAACTTGGTATGTAGACTAGTATTATCCCTACGTATAGCGACATTATTACAAACCACAAAAGCGCATTGTTTTATATATTTGACATAAAACGATCGGCGGAAAAATCAACCTTTTGAAATATATACTACTTTAAAAATTGGCTTCCTATATCTTATGGCTACCATAAGCAAGGCTGTAGTGTGAAAAGCGTTCGGATTGGTAAGCCTCTTGCGTTCTACCCAATAATTTTAACGCCATTTTTCTCTAATAGTTTTTTTTTTTAATTTACGGTCTACTAATTGTTGGCGTATGTCCAAAATAACCGCTTCTCAAAATAGCCCCAACAGATGTGCCCAAACTAAACCTCCAACATTTAATTATGCCAAGTACACAAATTCGGTGCAAAATCGGGTCAAAACACAAAAAAAGTGCCAAGAGCAAGATCCACATACCATACATATTTATTGAGTTTCTGGGGGTATGTTTATGTGCTCTTGAGGTGTTATGACAGACTGACAAATGCAAGTGGGGGTCTGTACACACACATACATACTTGTACAATATCCATATATGCTAAAATGAAATTGTATTTTCGTAATGTAAGTTTTGAGTGGAATTTTGTATGAAAGAAAAATTAAATACAATAAATTGTTAATAAAAAAATATGATCGATTTGGTTAGCTAATGGTAAAAGAGGCATCTTCAATGTTATGGGGAGCTGCACATCCTTCACGATCTTTCCGACTGATCCCCAATGTTTCTCGATTACCAAATCAGCCCCTCAATATAACATGCCATTATAATTTAAATTGGTGGTAAATGGACCTATTTGTCATTAAAGCTTTTTAGTGAGCCTAAGTTGCCCACAACTGGCATTTCTGAAGTGTCTTCTATGATGAAATCCTATTTAATTTGAATCTTAATCGGTAATCTATTAAACAATAATTAGGCTAATAGCAACTACCTCTGCACTCAAAACATTTGAACGCCTTCTTTACGACACTAATTACAAGTAGTGAGGGTTCCGGCATTTGTTTGGCAACGTCTCTTTTGGCCGGCATTTAAAGAGAATTTATTTTATCTCAATAAAACATCTTAAGGAATAGAATTTAGTTAGCGAGACTTCTATCTCAGTAGTTTCCACTACATTTTTTGTATTTCGGATATAGTACTATATCTTTTTAGTTTTTAATTCTGTACTTGCAAGACAACTTGACATTAATATTGATCAATAGTCCGTTGTTCCACAGAAACAGTTTGGAAAAGTGTTGAAAATTGATAAAAGTGTTTATAAAAGCTTTCTTTGCATTTTCTGATGGCGAAATTTATTTTTATATTCATTCCACTTGATGTACAGCAATGGGTATAATAAATTTGCCCGCTGTTATTTTATAGAAATTGTCCCAAAGTAATTCCTTGGAAGATGATTAAAAAATGTTGTTTTCATATACTCGTACGTTGTTCATGGCAACATTTTCAGAGCCATAAAGAAACCCCCAAGTTGTATTCCATTGCACAGCATGAACAATTTCATAGTCAAGTTAACGACTGGCACCCATGGGCCCATTACGAGGGCAAGTGCAAGTGGAAGTTGAATGCTAAGCTGCGAAAGTGGTGCTATGTATGTTAGTATGTATACACTATATCTGGCATACTTCAGTTATTTATTTATTCATTTGTTTGCTTATCGTTACTTGATCACTGCCTACTGAGCGCTGTGTGGATAGCTGTGCGCATTCTCGTCCATATATTCTTTGGGGTGGCAATTATGGTAATTGCTTCAGTTGATGCATTGCCTTTGGCGCTTCCGTTTCCTGTTGCCATCGTCCACAGAACGTCGGCATTGCATTCTGTCAACTTATTACATTGTTCACTTGTGTGACCTTGACAAAGGCTCTTCGTCCCGTTCTCTCGATTCGCTAGCCTTGAGAATGTGATGTTCAATGAATAGTTAACCAAGTTTTATTAGATTTTAAAGTGTTTGTTGGGCAGCAAGTAAATACTTAGGCTATTGAAGTGCAGATGTTCTGTGAAATTCTGAAGAGTCCTTTGCCTGCGTTAGAACTTGACTATTGCAAGTACTTTCGTTTCTTTTTCTTTGCTTAACTTTAAAAAGAGACTCGTCAATAAAGGTATGTATGTGAATGCAGACAGTACTTTTGCTGTGACTGTCACATTATGAAGTTAAGCCATAAGAGTCTGAAAAACAAATTGGACTGCATGCAAAAGTTAAAAAGCTAAACATGTCGCCATATTTAGCGACATGTGACAGGTGTCTACTACACAAATACATACATATGTACGTACATATTTACATTCATAGCGGCCAGATTAGTAGGGTAAATATTTAATGTGCTGCGAAAAGTTATCATTTTATAAGAAAATGTTCCGCAGACAGTTGAACAAACTGCGAAGTTTCAGTTCGCAGTAAAATAGCTTATTGAGGCTTCTTAGTCTATCAAATTTACATAAAAATATTTTCTCTTAGACACTTCAACACAATGCATTGCCATTTCATTTATAAGCCGTGATTTATCACTTCAGTTATTTCACGGCAACAGAGTTCAAGTTCCTAAGTTCGTAGGGCAGAAAACAAATCATTGGCCGATGGGTTTAATGCACTCAGATATTTGCCACTAACATCGAAAACTTATTTATACACCTACATTTAAGTTGCTATTAGTTGCTATATAAATATCTTTGAAATCATTCTTAATACTTAAATAAATTTAATGTATGTTGGTCGGAAATTAAAAGATGTTCGGTTTTTTGGACAACTAGCAACGTTTAACAGCACTTAAGCTTAACAGCGTCCAATTTTAACAGCACTCAAGTTTAACAGTATTAACAGCTTGAAATTTAACAGCATTACCTTAACAGGTTTTATTTTGTTGAAACCGTGCGAAAATAAAATATAATAAAAAGTAAGTTGTACTGCGCGGAAAATACTAATTTGATTGCTGCATTGTTAATGGTGCTGTTTAGTACATCATAGATATCTGTTTACTTCTTCTTATTACAAGTATATAGATTTTTTGTATGCACTTCACTGAACAGTTTAGGAGAAATATTGTTTTCATTGTGTTAGCTTGTAAAATGCAAAAGGAAGAATTGGAAACTATAGACTTACATATTTTATCAATACTCTTCCCACAACTTTAGAGCTACTATTGCGTAGAAACTTTTCATCGACTTCATCTTTTGGACAGACCCAGATATTTATGAGCGATAATTTGAGATTACTTTATAATAAATCTAATAGAGAAAAGATATAATTAAAAAGAAGATATATGAAGATATTGAAACCAAATGCAAAACCAAGTAAGTAATTCGTTTTTTTTTCCAGTGGTATAAATACAAGTAGTCTGCAGCCCAGCTCGGCGGCTACTGCGCAGATAAATTTGCTTGTTTAGTCTAGTTTTTTGCAGACTCTTTTTGAACCAGCGCCGCTGTATTTCATTAGTTGTAAAAATTAGTTATTTAGGTGTGAGTTGCAATTGGAATTCAAATAGGATGGAGTAACTCATATCAGTTGGGATGTTG